TACGACAAGGTATAGCGTTACATCCATGAGTCTCTGTCAGTCTACGTCAAGGTAAAGCGTTACATCCATGTCTGTGTCAGTCTACGTCAAGGTATAGCGTCACATTCATGCCTGTGTCAGTCTACGTCAAGGTATAGCGTTACATCCATGTCTGTGTCAGTCTACGTCAAGGTATAGCGTCACATTCATGCCTGTGTCAGTCTACGTCAAGGTATAGCGTTACATCCATGTCTGTGTCAGTCTACGTCAAGGTATAGCGTTACATTCATGTCTGTGTCAGTCTACGTCAAGGTATAGCGTTACATTCATGTCTTAGTCAGTCTACGTCAAGGTATAGCGTTACATCCATGACTGTGTCAGTCTACGTCAAGGTAAAACGTCACGTCCATGTCTGTGTCAGTCCTCGTCAAGGTATAGCGTTACATCCATGTCTGTGTCAGTCTACGTCAAAGTACAGCGTTCCGTCCATGTCTGTGTCAGTCTACGTCAAGGTACGTCTTGGTATAGCGTTACATCCATGTCTGTGTTAGTCTACGTCAAGGTATAGCGTTACACCCATGTCTGTGTCAGTATACGTCAAGGTACGTCAAGGTATAGCGTTACACCCATGTCTGTGTCAGTCTACGTCAAGGTATAGCGTTACATTCATGTCTGTGTCAGTCTACGTCAAGGTATAGCGTCACATCCATGCCTGTGTCAGTCTACGTCAAGGTATAGCGTCACATCCATGTCTGTGTCAGTCTACGTCAAGGTATAGCGTTACATCCATGTCTGTGTCAGTCTACGTCAAGGTATAGCGTTACATCCATGTCTGTGTCAGTCTACGTCAAGGTATAGCGTCACATCCATGTCTGTGTCAGTCTACTTCAAGGTATAGCGTTACATCCATGTCTGTGTCAGTCTACGTCAAGGTATAGCGTTACATCAATGTCTGTGTCAGTCTACGTCAAGGTATAGCGTTACATCCATGTCTGTGTCAGTGTACGTCAAGGTATAGCGTTACATCCATGTCTGTGTCAGTCTACGTCAAGGTATAGCGTTACATCCATGTCTGTGTCAGTGTACGTCAAGGTAAAGCGTCACGTCCATGTCTGTGTCAGTTTGCGTCCATTATAAAATTATTGCAACCGCAATTCGATGTCTCTCTGTCAGTCTTCGTCAAATGTATCAATTATTGTAACCTTGTATTGAGATTAGACATATTATCATCTTCAGCTGCAAAGCCAATTATTTGTTGTATTTAAAACTAGAATATCAAATTGTTGGTGGTGAACGTTTGTGTTCAAAGCTCGACCTCGATCTGGTCATCTTGTGGTAATGCTTCCCTGAAAACATCTAGTGTAACTTGGGTCATCAGCAGGCTAAATGATAAGAGTGTACCAAATTTAACGAGATGAACTATGTGACCCTCGGAATCAAGCTCGTAAACTCCGTTATATCTTAATGGTGGCACATGTAGGTCATGGACCAGTAGGTGATAACTGACCTCTTTGCAGCGTATGGGCTAACTGAAACATCCCCTGTGATCTGCATCGATCATGCGCCGGCCAAACTTGGTACAGTCGGACCGCTTGTACCAAACACAGAGGCAAAGGTATGGCAAGTAAACCTTGAGGTAGCTTGGTATCCAACACGACGTGCAGTGATGCTTTACTGAACAACATTTCCCAGCTCCGCCATCTTTACTCCGATACGATACTCCTCAGCGTAAAGATCTGGCAACCCTCCATATGATCGTTCAATTCAGTCAATCAGCGCCGAGGTCCCTAAATGCTCGAATGATCGAAACATTCCGAGCAGCATATCTGATTTCTGTATCTTGAAAACTAAATTAAACGCCAATTCTGAATGAAAATCTGTAAAGGTTGCACCATTGTATTGTGGATATTTCATACACCTGTCGTTTCTGAGCGCCATGCCTTGGAATATGTGTGTTCTAAGTGGGATTTTATTTTTGTTAAAGTCAAACATTATGAATCGAGGTGGTAAAGAAATGAAGCCGAATTGTTTTGAAAGCCAACATCTGATTGGCTCAAGAACCCCCGCAACTATCATTTAGATATAGAGAATCTCACCCGAGTGTCTTTTGATATGAAATATATCAACACGAGTTTTATCAACGAGTGTTGATATATTTAATATTAAAAAACACAAGGGTGAGATTTTATTTATCATCCAACACAGTTGTAGACAGTAATTGGCAGTGTCAAAGTGTAAAAAGTACTACAATGTAGATATCGCTTGATCTCACCCAAGCGATGTCTCCCGTGGGAGCCAGTTTGGGATGATAAAAGGCGGTTCCAACTTTCAGGGTTCACTAACCCAGACATCATATTTTAGGAATTGTCAGATCTTCACGCAGGTTCATGTCGCATCGGACCTAAACATCTGATTTTAGATTGTTTAGTAATTAGAGTTCGTGAATGAGTTGGGTTTAACTAACTCCACTTTGAAAATTATTTCACTGACAGAAACAATTAGTGAATTTCACTGTCCACTCAGACACTAATATGTCAGTAGAATTCAAGCAGATAGTGAGGTTTTTTTAGTAATTAAACCAGTGGGTAGCCTGTAGTAGATTAGTAAAATTTGCTTCTTAGTTTGTAGAGATCACTATCCACCTTTCAAAGGACTCCTGGCTTTAGTAGTGAATCCTAGTTCATAAATAAGTGACATTTACTAATCGTCTCATAATTATACTAACTGTAATAGTATATTTACTAAGCTTGCAGTACGTTTTACTACACTTTAATAGAGGTTTGTTTGTTTGTCATTCAGCGCTCTGTCAACAGGACAGCTGCTAAATACAATTTGCAAAAAATAACTAAAATAAAATGACATAAACCATTCAGGTGAAAAATAACGTATAATGATTTCGAGTCATGTTTATGTTCACACTGCTACAATTGTCATTGACAGGTAAATAAAATAACCAGATCTTGTTTTACACTGGCAAACTTAACTACCCTCCCTTCTTCATTGAGTACATACTATAAAGTTCATAATGTCGTCATTCATGAAAACATAACATTAACAACGTTACAAAGCCAATATATACCTAACACTCTGACTCATAATCATCAAATGATATCTATATCTCAAAGCGACGAAAGACCCGTAAAGATGTGACCCATTTACTTGTAGCTATACTGTTTGTAAATATAGTGGGACATTAATTAGAGTTACCCGACATTAAATTGGTTCAAAATAAGTGACGTAGATCACTCAGGGTAACTATCCCATCCTACCGTAAATTGTGATGAGAGAATGAATGAATGACTTTATTTCGTAAGGGGGCCACCGGCCCATTATACATTGTTCATTAATCGGTATCCATAGTAACGATGGAGCGCAGAGTATAAAACTAACAATGGTCAAAAAATACAGCAGATCATACTAAAAAGATCATTTCTTGTCCACAGGGGTTTGTCCCAACCGATTACTTTATATGAAATTGTTTACAGTGCATAAATAAACAATGAAGCTTTGGAAAGAATCAGTACTTATTTACAAAAGAGTTTGTAACAGTAGATAAGTACATAAATTCTGTTTACAGTGTATATATGAGCAATAAAGTTTGAAAAGTAGAGCAGAAAAGTAAATCCTACAAGAAGCATCAGTTCTTGTTTACAAAGCGTCTCTTTCACCCGACCACTGGGGACTGAATTATTGAAAGCCATTATTGAATATGTAGTGAGTATCAACCCAAATACATGTGGTTTCCTCTTAATACATGTTCATATTAATCATTGGTTAAGAACTTTTCCTACGCTGTTTAACATTGTGGTGTTAGAAGATACAAGTAAACTATGAAGCTTTTGATCTGTAGGACAGCGGTGATAATAACTAGGAATACGTGACTGTCTTAAATCCGAATAGAAGTTACATTCAAGACAAAAATGGAACTCTGTTTCTACGGTGGGAATAACACAAAAAGGACAGAGACGTTTATGTCTCGCCATTCCCAGCTTTCTGCCTGCCTCAATCATCAACTGATGGCTGGAGCACCTAAGTGAACAAAGTGCAATACGATAAGCTTTTATATTAACATCGTATAAATAATTTTCAAATACAATATGAGATTTCAATGATCTGTACAGATCTAGCTTGGAGAGTTTTGAAGATTTGACAACCACTTTTGTTGATCAATATCGATACATCTTTGTTTAAATGAAGCCAAAAACTGATTTACATTTCCAATATTCTGAGCCTCCCAAACAGTTCCAAAACCATAGTTGTAAAGAAGCATTTTCACATCTAGGGCCCATGATTTGATATTTTTATTTGCCAAAGATAATTGGTAATTATACCCATGTTTTAGAATACCGTTCTCTTCTTGGTATAACAACCGTATCCAAAACTTAATGATTTTAACAAAACGGTTTACTTGAAGAGAGTATCGACCAAGCTCTCAACGAGCAACAATGTTACGTGTAAATCTGCTAAGATTCAAAATAGTTTTACAAAATACGTCATGAAATCTTTCAACATCGGGTGAAGAGTGGAATCCGTAGTTTAGAACTGGGGAGTTTTAACATGGAACATGTGTAGTAGTACTTTCAAGGGCAATTTAGTGAAGTGTGCTACACACAGAGGACATGAACACACAGCAAGGAAGTAAAAAAGTTAAACCTACATACCTAACGAAACATAAAAGAACTTATAATATCAAGGTTGAAAGGATGTTTAAGATGGTATAGCAAAAATGCATACATTGCATCGGCATTTAATATATATAAAGAACTTAAATGTATTACCTAGAGTTCGATAGACGATAAATTGACAATTTGTAACCAGCTTATTTGTCTCCTTGTTTTCTCAAAATGGCGAGCGTGACACTGACCAAAGCGGAAGAGAGCTAATTTATCAGATCTTGGCGACGACACTGAAATGTGATACCCTCCAGGATAGTAACGTCGCTGTTTACTAACCTTCTGACCGCTGTTACTAATTATATTAGTAGTTTTCATTGGGGTGTTCAGTTATATCGCGGCATGTTTTATCATTTAACTTAAGCATTTATTCATGACATAAGCTTATGACATAAAAACATGTATGTCATGCCCCAATGACATAAGTATGCAAATTAGATATGCAAATTAGATAACCGGAAGAGGGAGCGGTTTGATTTGAAACTATATATTATAAGTGAAGTTACACCAGAGATATAATCAGATTACACAGAATCGTTGTTGTTACCGTTATTAAAGTTTCAATTATTCTGCAAATGTCTGTTCAAGTATTTTGTTTAAAATAATCCGAGGAACTTTTTTTCTCAGCGAATTGTTTATTTTGGTTTACATGGCTATGGAACACATGTATCACTACGCACGATCTATACGTAAGATTTCGACAAGTTGCTGATGTTAATGTTTAATGCAATTATTCCTTAATTTGGAAGCAAAAATGTGAAAATGATAAATAGAATTCATCACTCGTGTTTTTTAATATGGGAAATATCAACCTCGTCCCGTTAATCGGTATTTGCCTCGCCAAAGGCTCGGCAAATACTGATTAACTAAGACTCGGTTGATATTTCCCATATTAAAAAACACTCGTGACGAATCCTCTATATCTTAACCTGGGAGGAAAGCCTGAAGTAATACCGGTCTTATACGTTACGACATCGATGAAACACACGAGCATGGGTAAGATGCTGACAATCCAAAGATCTTCTCAACCAGGGCTAACCTGAGATTCCAAACCACGATAATAAAATCCGTGTACGCCTAAGGGACGCAACTCTCCCCTCTAAAATGCGGCGCCATGGGCAGCTGAGCCACCTGGGGTCCACTCAAATTTTAATAAACCTTTCTGGTATATAATATCTGAGACGACACACCTCATCTGCGGTCGGGTAGCCTAGTGGTTAAAGCGTTCGCTCGTCACACCGTACCCGGGCTCGAATCCCGACATGGGTACAATGTGTGAAGCCCATTTCCGGTGTCCCCCGCCGTTATATTGCTGGAATATTGCTAAAAGCGGCGTAAAACCATGCACACTCAGTCATCTTCATGATCATAAAAAAGTGCCTACATTTTTGGCTGACAGCGGCATGAGGAACCAAGCTGCCATGACTCTGTGAAGAAAGAACAGTGTAGAGAAGTTCGTTAACTCGAGGTCCCTTGTCTCCATACATCGTTTAAAACCATGCTTGACACGTGTAATTCATGATATGTGATTGATGTAGGTTGTTGACGTCGCTAACGGGGACGACTTGTGCCGGGGAGAGACTGGAGAAATACTTACCCGAGGGCCCCAAGTCATGCTTGGTTACCTTGACAACCAGCAAGCCACGGATGACATGATAAAGAACACCTGGCTACACACAGGTAGGAAACCCAGGGGGGTTCCGGGTTCTAACCCCAGGAACCTATGCTGGTCGTGCGAGGGGACCAAATGGATCGGGTGCATGGTCAGGGTGCATGGTCAGGCTCGACCACTTGCGTGTCCTCCTATCCTAAAGCGTGGATCCCTCGCAATATCGCTCACTGGATTGCCTGGTCCACACTCGATTATTTACAGGCCGCCGTTATATAGCTTTAAAACACATCTGTGACGTCATTCTATTGTTTGAACGCGCCATTATTTTTCAGGAATGGAGAGTTGCTTGTCAACTGTACATTATCTTGAAGCAGCATTTGAATTTTTCAAATATTTTCAACTACAGAATATTTTGTAAAAGTAGGGATGAGTTTTAAGTAGGGGAATATCCTCGTAACTCGGACATTCCCCTCTACGGAATGTTGCTGAGTGCGGCGTTAAACGGCAAAACACAGGTAGGAGACCCCTTCTGTATTATGTCATTCTGATGTAACAGTTGGGAAATCTAAATTATATTTTAAGATAAATCCCGATGATCCCTTATGCGTTGTGTGACAAAATGCGTGCAAAGTGTGTGATATCGATTCCTATTTGTTGAGCAAAATGAATTCAGATTGCGATACTTCTTAACGAAGACATTTCTACAGGGTACAGGAACCGACTACATTGCCATGACGTGTGACAATGGGATATCTCATGTCGGTAGCTCATAAGTCGTGTATGTGTGTGTATGTTTCTCAATTTTCCTTCAGACTGCTTGAAATATTTAAGAATCGTCTCTTTACAACCCAAAAGTACCACGCAGGTGAACGTTTTTAAGAATATGTGGGACCAGTTCTATGACAGTGATTCGCTGAGTTAAAAGAAAACATGTCTTTATTAAAACTACAACATATATTAATTTATTCAATTTGAGAACATATTTCAGAATCGTCTTTTCAGAAATCACAAGGCCCAGAGAGCTGAAACTTTGGCAGGTTACGTGGCTATGTAGTGGAACACAGATTTAAACATGGCATTCAAATTACGAATTTAATTGGATTTCGGTTGTTGTTTTTAAATTGGTTAATATTATCCTTTAATATCCAAATAGATCAAGTCAAATCACTGAAGACGTCATGTGAAAACAATGTGTTTTGTATAATATATCGTAATCTGCTGTAGTTTATTCTTCACTGCCATGTGAGCTGTCAGTTTATCTGTCAATGTGTCAGTGGGTCAGTACATAGTCAGATATATCAGCCTTTGTTATCCTCCCCAGGCGATATTGGTCACTTTGACGAGGATGGGAGACTGACAGTCACTGATCGTATGAAGGAGCTCATCAAGTACAAAGGATTTCAGGTGACTCACAGAAACAATGAATCAAGTAAATATGTCATGGTAGTTCGGGTTCTGCAACAGTGACTTGTACCATTCCCAGTGGTGAGACAGGCTGGTTGCCTGGGTAGCGCAAGCGCAGCCTACTCAGAGATCCAGGCTTGTGGTGAGGACGCGCGATGGTCCAAGGGGCAGCAATTCGCCGTACATAATTGAGTGCCTTGGCCGTGCCAGGATCCGCTGCTGATCGTAGACTCTAACCCAAAATTCCACCAATGATTATGATTATTATTGGTTTCATCAAAGTAGCAAACGTCACGTGGTGCCTTCCTCCCACATCACAAGCACAGTACTTGAAATACTGTTCAAAACGGTGTTATACACACGTCACTCAATCATGACAAATCTTTTTTAGATCTGGCTCTATATTTAAAATAATTCGGAGCATACCTTGTTGGTAGATACAACAACGTTCTGCAGATAACCATCTAACTGACCTTTGGGTTCCGGGTTATAATAAAACCACGGACAAACGGGTAGAGGATAGGTCTCCAGCAACCTATGCATGCCGTAAGAGGTGACTATGCTTGTCGTATGAAGCGACTAACGGGATCGGGTAGTCAGGATGGCTGACTTGGTTGATGCATATCATCGTATCCCAATTGCGTGGATCGATCCTCATGATGTCAATCACTGGATTATCTGGTCAAAGTCAAAGTCAAAGACGTTTATTGTATCAAAGGCCATCGGCCCATATACAAGTTCAGATAAATACAGTGAGTGAGAATTTACAGATTGGGAGATACAACAAAAATTATATAAATATAACATTCATTCAACAATCGGTGATAATCATGAGGACTTTCTAGGGTAGGGTAATTAAAATTATGAATTTCCACTCAACATGTTATTTCGTAGTTCCAACCCATGTTTTACAAATAAAGACAGTTTAAACATTACATCGGCATCATTCGATGACAAAATAGAAACTAACGCTATTCTACTCGTCTTAGATAAGAAACATTCTGGTATATATTTAGTACGTAATTCTGCATAATAAGGACATTCAAAGGTAAAATGTATTTCGTCTTCTATTGCAGAGTTACAGAATGGACAAATTCTTTGTATTCTTTCAAGTGATATATTCCGTCAATAGTTAATCATAAGTTTTGACAAGCCAAGTCTGTATTTAATATATCCATTTCTTAGGTGACTATTTGTTAAAACTGATAGATATTTTTCTGGTTCTAATAGAGTCTTAAATGTTCTGTACAAATCATAACGTGAACTGTTTTCCAAGTTGCATTGCCACCCTTGATAGAACATATTTATTGCTATTTCACGAAAATCATTTAGAAATAAATGTTGATCACCAACAGATTGGTTAAGCCATATATACCCATATCCATGTGAGAATAATAGTGTCCTAATATGCGATACCCATGTAACCTTACCGATACTATCTAAATGAAAGAGCATGTTATAAGCTTTTTTCGGAAGCCGATGTTCTGGCATACGGATGATATTAAACCAATATTTTAAACACTTTATTTGTGAATTAATGTAAAGTGGGTATCTTCCACATTCTCCATATATCATATTATTTGGTGTTGCTATTCCAACGCGAAGAAACTTTTTACATGCCAGTAGGTGAATTCTTTCTAAACATTCATATCATCGGTAACCCCACACTTCAGATCCATACAATAAAATTGGCTGTATTTGAGTATCAAATAATTTGAAAAATACTTTTGGAGTAATAACTCCAAGTTTATGTGAAACAGACATTATATTACGTAAAGCTCGTTTCCCTCGCAGTGATAAGTCAGAAACACATTTGTTCATATTTAGTGTTGAATTAAACATTATGCCGAGATACTTATAACCATTAACTACATTAATTTGTTGTCCATTTAAGTACCATCTTTCCCTAAAATTTAAAGGACCCCCTTTACTGAATACTATAATTTCTGTCTTATCTAAATTTACAGATAAATTCCATTCCTTAGTATATTTATCTAATACATTCAACTGATTCTGTAGACCAATAACAGTGTCAGATAGTAAAATAACATCATCGGAAAAAAGGAGCATAAGAAGTTCAAGGATGTCAGGATACATCTGTATACCATGCTTGCCGTTACTTGAGATTTCATAATATAATTCGCTAATGAAAAACGAAAATAACAGAGGACTCAGTATACATCCCTGACGTAAACCAGATGGGCAATCGATAAAATCAGTAACACCATAATCACTACGTACACATGACTTGATATTTGAATACATTGATTGTAGTATATTAAACATCTTCCCTTGTAGACCAGCTTTTCTTAAACAACACCATAATTTATAACGATCAACTGTATCAAATGCCTTTTTAAAAACAATAAAAGCAACGTAAACCTTGTGTTTACGACGTGTTAGACATTTTTGAATTGCAGCATATAATGTAAAAATATGATCTATGGTCGAATAATTTTTTTCTAAAACCAGCTTGAACTTCCGGTATCTTATCTCTCATATTCGCCCAGTTAGTAAGCCTGTTATTCAAAACAGAGGTAAAATTTTCCCCAGAACACTCATTAATGAGACCCCCCCTGTAGTAGTCAGGGTTTCTCGGATCGCCTTTTTTATGTAGAGGGACTATTTCTGAACAAGACCAACTGTTTGGAAATATTTGATTATCAAAGAGTTTGTTGAAACATTTATGAAGAAATGGCATAATATCCAATTGGGAACATTTAAGCATTTCTATCAGCACTTGATCGGGCCCGGCGGATTTTCCTTTTTTTAACTTATTTATTGATGATGTAATTTCATGTTCAGTTATCGTAGAATTTAGTATGAATGCATCAATGCAATGAAGTTCTAAACTCGATTATTTACGGACCGCCGTCATTTAGCTGGAATATTACTGATAGCGACGTCAAACAACAAACAAACACACAAACAAAAGGTCACCCATGGGAGAGCTAAAGCGGATCGGGTTGCCAGGCTACGTCAGGTTGATTGCATGTCAGCGGGCCCAATACCGTGGATCGTTGCTCATTATTTAAAATACTGCGTTTGTTACACAACATTCACTCACTCACTTCTTGCATGCAGGTGCCCCCTGCTGAGCTGGAGTCACTTCTACTCGCCCATCCCGGGGTCAAGGACGCCGCGGTAATGGGAATTCCGGACGAAGAGGCCGGCGAGCTACCCAAGGCCTTCGTCGTTCTTCAACCCGGGCAGACCCTTTCCCCACAAGACATAATGGAGTTTGTTAAAGGTGTGCAGGCGAGAAATGTGTTCACTGGCGACTTTTCGTCAGAGAAAGCATTCATAAATATATCTTTTTCAGATTTTGTAGTGATAATGTTTATCGCAAACGATGCATGCATATGACGTCGATATACTTGTGATCATGAAGACAGCCATGTATATTCTGACATACATTAACAGATTCTTCTGTTTAATTTTTAGAAAATGCGACATCCTACAAACAACTGAGGGGCGGTGTGACAATGGTTGACAGTATACCAAAGACCCCGAGTGGTAAAATATTGAGGCGTCAGTTGAAGGATATGTGAGGCGTGACATTAATAAATCGGGTCACGTGGTGCAGCTCGACACCGCCGTGGGTGACGACGGTGACATCCGTATCAGGGGATACAGACTAATAAATCTCGCCAACAGTGATACCCTTTCGAGCATAAACCTGTTCTTATAAGTCAGCTTAACCAGGCGATGTTTCCCCTACAGCGACCTGACAAGACACTACCTCCGTGACAGTAGCACAGACTCACAAGGGTTGTGGCGCTAAAACCGCTTTTCATCTAGAGTAATATGTACTAACGTTTTGCAGATTGTTATATCTATACTTAAAGCACACGCGAGTTCCCTCCCGTTTAATGTGGATTATGAAAGGATATTTTGCACAGCTGTGATCTGATATAATACTTTGTGAAGTAGTACAATGCGTTTATACATTGGACATTAACTTTTTGATATCTACAGTGCAATAAGGATTGGATTTGTACATGTGCTCACTCAAGATAAATACATTATGTTTTCTGTGTGTCTATTTACTCAAGATATGTTCTGACAGGATGGGTTATCGGGATTTTAATTAACAAAGTCCTGTTGAAGTATCGTGGTTAAAATATTCAGCTGCTGTTGTCGTCATTGTCAAAGGTCCATGAGGGCTTATGGGAAATACATGATACGTTGTCAATTTATTCAAAATGGTTATTATCTTTTCTTTTGTGAAATGTCTTGTATACTTGGACCCTATTTATTTTCAATCGGCAACACTCACCGGCTTATATAGTCACGTGACACAACACATGATATTGATGCACTTGATTGCAGCAGTTTTTAGCTCGGCGTTTGTAAACAATAGTTCTTCACACGGAACACAAAGATTGTGTTTCAACATACAACACATTTATTCTGGCGCCAAATTGATGCTTCCGTCCAGGTTCTATTGTTTAATAGTTATTAAAAGCTGCATACAAGTACATGTTCATCACGCCATCTACACGTATATTATTGTGTTTCTCATATCCATGCTTAGATTCAGAGAAGGAAGAAAAATTGATAAAAGTAAATCAAAATATGTTAATACAGAATTAAGAAAAGGTGTGTATTAATGTACACAAATGGCTCATATCGAGCATCTTGATCCAAAAGGTTCTAAACTAGTCATGAATTTTGAACATTTACCACAAGTGCATACACGTGTGCTCGTGAACCCAAACTTCATTACTGTGCTCCACTCGAAGTGCAGCGGCGACTGTATTGGCCTTAAGGGCTTACAACACGGACAGAGCTGACAAGAACAAATTGAAATGGGATTTTTTTATGAAACATGAAATTCGCTCAGTTCTTTTTCCAGAGAGCGGTATATGTATTCAGGCGAGCAAAAGAGAGGATATTAAAAAACAGCACAAAACACTAAGAAATAGAGACGACCTTAGAGGTATACATCAAGACGTGTCAGAGATGCGCAGACACGTTTGTGTACGAGATGGAGAGCGAGTAACTGTATCGGGACGGCTGACGTTAATGTAGCTAGAGTTTCCTCCCTTGACAGACAGAATTGTGATGTGGGTTGCGTAACACATGTTGTGCAACCCAGACAGAATAACTAAAGTACTGTCGGAAATGCTAGAAAACTGCTTTTTGCCTGTAAAAAAAAAGGATATATTTTTGTACAGACTGTTGTTATTGAAATATGGATTAACTACCGATCGACCTACCTGTGCTTTGAAGTATCTCAGTCACAAGGAGTCCTATGGACAAGTTTACAGAAGACAAATTCGAACGAAAACAGGACGTTTGCAAGTCCAATGACGACAGTCTGAAACGTACCATAGCAATATACACACGTGACTCCGTGATAATGACAATAATGTAGTCTTCATAAAACATCTAATCCACACACAAAAATCATTTTGAGAAAATTCTAGATGTGCATCTTCTAAAATGACAAAATGACGCTGCGTTTGTTTTGTTAACATTCCTCCCATGATGCGTGTTACATTACACTTGCATAGCCATAACCATGGTACACGACATGAAGTCTGTGTCGGGAAATGTATGCAAGTTCTTTACACTTTAGAGAGATAGAGGGAAAACGTTTATTAATTTAGATAGGGTGAATTACTGAACTGCCCAAGCTACTGGGTTTTCAATTCATACCATCAAGTCTACGGTATGATAAAGAAAACAAAACAGGTATAGGGGTGGTCTCAAAAACAAAATTGGGACGTAAAAGGATATTCGACAGCTTTGATACAGGGTGATTAAGCGTATCTATAGGGTACATGCTTTATGAGCAGAAGGTAATGCTGCCTTGTAGTAGACTTTGGGATGAATTAAAGTTACAATTAATGTTTACTGCACTAACTATTGCTCTCCAAGAGATGGGATTTCGATAAACTGCGCGAGGCGATGACCGAGCACTTTTCAGGGGAAAATATTCCATCCAGTCTATGAGGTCACATTATCTCCGAATCATTCATAACTATCACAGCCAGGGCGTCCAGATAATTCACCTTGATGAATCATTCCACTGACTACATGTGGCTATCGGCAGATGGACAAAAACCACCCATAGACCACCAGGTAAAGGTAATCGTGTCATTGTTTTGCAAGCTGCAACCCATGATGTGGGGCTTATTGATGGATGTGGGCTAGTCTTCGAGAAGAAAAAGAAAAGAAAATTATTGGAGGTGATGTGTTCATAGACTGGTTGGAGCTTCAGCTACAGCCCATTAAGACAACGTCAGTGTCATTGTCATGGACAACGCCAGTTAATATAACGTCCGGGAATCAGATACTGTCGCCCAAACCATGAGTAGTCTGAAGGCGACCATACCGGAATATATGACATTGTCGACTTCAGACCATCTGAAACGAAAGTTCTACTCATGGAGAATATTCGGCTGAATAAAGAACCCTATAAAGTAGAGGACATATGTGCTGGCGGCACAACACGGTCACGTTGCCTTACGTACGCCAGTCAGACACTGTGAGCTCAACCCTGTTGTGTCCATCTTGGCTAAGTGTAAAGGGTTCGTGGCAAGACATAACACAACATTCAAAAGTACAGACTCATGCACGTCATCAGCGGAGATAAATGCTACCTCAAGAAATCATCTGTAGAACAACAAAATACTTCTAGATTCCAAAACCGCAACCTTCCAATACTCATCCCGTTTCATAGCTCTTAACTATTCCATCATGTTTCCAAGCAAATATAATGCAGTACATATCCAAAATTGCTACTCCATCAGCGCACATGTCAATTAAGTACAATAACAGCAATATTTTGAGACCACCCCCAACTCGGTGACATTTGCACCTGTGAGAATGCACGGGACGGCGTGAGGTCATCACCTCGGGACAGGTGTTAGGTAATTAGGAGCGCGATTAGTTTTACCAACATAAACGGGAGCAGAATTAAGGAGAGATAATAATTTATGGATGAACAACTTCTTTTTTATTACAATTAAGAGCGCCGTTTCGGTGTAGGTTCTAACACCGTTATCAAGCAAGTGATATACAGAGTGTGGTTGACAACTATGTATACAAGTAGGAGGCAATGTTTATACTGTAGAGTAGACAAAGCCACATTTCGAAAATAGATAGCCCAAATTGATGTGGCTCTCGCGGCAATGGATATGGTTGCGTGATTGTATAATGTGGCTCTCCCGGCTATACTGTCAAAACATGCTTTGTGATTCTAACAGGTTACCGTATATAACAAAACAAGTCTTGTTTTCTCATTTTTTATTCAACAAGGATAACATATTCATCAAAACTTTACATTGATGAATATGAATAGCATATGAATATCATAATGGATTTAATGACATTACTGCAGATGAAGGAGGTCGCCCACGTGGTCAGCATATTCCATCTCACTCAGGTGTTGGTTCAGGAGCTGGATCTTGAGGGACGCAATCCGTGCGTCGATTGCCTTGTACTTCTTTATTCGTGAAGGTTCTGACCACTGGTGAGAGAGTCTCAGGACTGCAACCTCTTTGAGTGACTGCTCTCGCTGAAATAGCTTCACTACCTCGTAGATGTTCGGGTGGCACTTCTTGGCAAGTTTCTTTATCTTGTTGTGCCACCCTTCCAGGTGATTGTTGGTACGGTGGCCTTGGTTTTCGAAATGGTTCCAAATCTCTGGCATGAAGGCCCCCTCCTTGAACCCAACTGGTTGTCACGTAGTCCGTGAAGGCAGTCACTTTAGGGCAAGAAGAAGAGTCAGCAATGGCATCAAGCCACACATCATCAATTTTGGCACGAGGTACTAGAGGGAGGACAGCAGTTCTTCTCACCAGCTTCTTCACCTCCTCATCTTCCTTGTAGTCCATCATCAGACCTTCTTTCTGCACCCTCCTCCAGATACATTGGGTGAAGTGAAAGAAACACCCTCTAACTAATGTCCCAGGAAATAAATCAGTCACGGCATTGTGAGCTGCACGTTCAAAGTCCAACTGAATTGTAAGTGGGGCAAACTCTAGACCTCCTCTACTAGCAAAATCGCATAGGTACTGAAACATGTTGACATAACACTCTTTTGTTCGATTGGACAACAAACAGTAAACTAATGGAAACATATGGCCAAACACCTCAGCATGTAAACAATAAATCTGATCAAACAACTTGGGACAGGCATAAAATGTACCATCAGAAAATACAATGTCTGCAGTACACAAATGTTCAATGTTCTTGTCTGTAGTGAAGATGAGGATGTCGTCACTAACACGGTGTAGGAACTGGTCGCCTCCCTCAGTCTGGGAGTACTTCTCCTCCAGCTGGATCTGGGGTCTGCTGTCAGGAAGGCGGGGCAAGGTCTTGTGTCTCTGGCGGTAGAGGATAGTGGTGAGAGACTTCAGGGTTGGTATCTGCTTCAGGAGGTCATCTGAGACGATGTCGGCTTAGTCTGGATATCTCCTCTCCGTAGATAGTGGGTATAGGGGTCGTTTCTGTCCTCGCTCTCTCCATCAGTCTAGCCTTAAAGGCATCAACCTCAAACTCGAACGGTAGTGGGTCGTGGGAGTGACCCATGATCTCAGTGGTGTGGAGCAACTCACCCTGAGTTGTGATCCTTGCAGTGCACTCACGACGTCACTTAAATATGTTATGAATAACAGGACACTCATTTAAAGGTATCTCTAAAGAACACCATGCTTAGTAATTTAAATGTGGGACACTCATATAAAGGTATCGGTAATCGGATTAATTAATTACCCGCTAGAATAGGTGAAATGCACTCAGCTGAAAATGTGGCTCTACCGGCAATAGCCATTCTCTGAAATGTGGCTCTCCCGGCTAGACACCGTTATACTGGAGTAGAGATGCCTGTTATGTATACACAAGGGTAGTGATGACAATCATCGGTGAAGTCTGTGACATAAACAAAGGATGAAACCAGTAATATAAACAATAGGATTATGGTTGATTGGGGTCTTTAGTGAGTTGATGGTACGCTGGGGGTATGTAATAGCCTTGGTCACGGTTGATTGACGGCTGGAGTCATTTGGTGTTGATGGCTTCTTGTAGTTTACAAAAAAACACACAAAAATAACCTCAAGCACCACGAACCTCCAAGACTTCGAAATCAGAAGTTTTCTGATTTTGAATTTATACTTGTTAACCACACTCTGTACATCACTTGCTTGATAACGGTGTTCGAGCCTATACCGGAACGTCGCTCTTAATTGTAATAAAGAAGTTGTTCATCCATATATTCTTATCCTTATTTAGTACTCCAACTTCTAAATGCCTATCAGAGAAGGAGCAGAATTATTTATTTCATTAAATAAATAAACACAACGAACTGTATTCTTAATTGGACACTTTAATGTGGTCTTCAAGAAATGGGCAAATAAAGAAAAAGTGTAATTTGTTTTTCAGTAGCACATGTGTTATTTTTGGGAACCAACACCACCCTGAAAACCAAATTTAAAACGGTTGCTCCATTACTGCTTACACACTGGTGGCCTGTATTGATCGGCAAGACATGGACATGGTTAAGTAGTGTGAGCGATATTTAGGGATGTGCCAATCATTCATCATCTTCCCGAGTCAAGTGAGTTAACTGACTATTATATAAGTCCAGCTACCACCCTTGCCGAACTAGGCTGGTATTATGGAGTTACATTTTGGCTGGACTAACGAGTCTATGCATAGTCCAATCAAAATCGCGCACCGAAATCGAAATCCGGTTCGTAATGTGTCATGCAGATTTCGGTCGACTGCAGGATTTGCAAAGCATGTGCACCGCTAACTCGTTGTCAACACATATTTTCTATATCTTTTCATGTTTTTAATCAAGGTGCTCACGTGATTTGATGCACTTCGCGATGACTCGTTTGATCACAATATAGATCTTGATTATCGATCAGATCGTCTTGACTGGGCGCCACCGTTTTGTTTGAAGCAAATGCAAGTGATACGAGAGGTTGAATCTGATTGGTCAATAGGAGAGGCATAGAAAGAACGTTACTCGTAATAGCCACTGGTGGCGCTACGATCGAGCCCAGGAATTCCAGCCTAGTTCGGCAAGGGTGGAAACTGGACTTTTAAAGCCAGTTAACTCTCTTGCCTCGGGAAGATGATCATTCATACTCAGTGAAGTCAGTGGCGGAGCGGGTTAGATTCCCCGCATGGATACACTGCGTGAATGTCATGTGTGGCGTACCCGCCGTCGTGATACTGCTGGAATAATTCTGAAAGGGTGTAAACCAGACTCATTCACTCACTCACTCATCCATCGGTCTTGTTAGTTTTGCGTGCATGTGTGAGTGTGTGCCAGTTGCACCCAAGACACATGTTCACCTCTATGTTTGCTATCAGACATTCATCACCCCTTTCTCTCTCTCTCTCTCTCTCTCTCTCTCTCTCTCTCTCTCTCTCTCTCTCTCTCTCTCTCTCTCTCTCTCTCTTTAGGATTCGTCAGGCTGACCACGTTCAGTTCCTTCAATTCCATGCATAAAGTCCACTTTGGTGTCCATGGACGAGCTCGTGTTGAAATGTTGCTGAAAGTGGCATATATGATTGTAGCTCTTGTGTATTTAGAGATGAAATACTATATATTTATCTGAAAATATAAAATGAAATATATTTCATTCGGGTTAAAGAACACTTTATACTAGAACTAGTTTTGTCTGCCTGATTGACACTATTGTTTCCAGAGTTAGACATGTAAAATAAGAGAGAAAACACATCTTTAGAACATTTTGCTTTTGTTGTCAAATAACATGTTTATCTCATCTCGTAACCTGAAACAGGTGGTATATTGACTCGTGTAGTTACTCATTACACCCATTCACTGTTTTCACCTCTCAATCTGTTGAATGTTTACGAAAAGATGGAGGAATAAATCAAATAAAATCCACTTCCGCTCTACATTTCAGAGGTAAAAAATACTGAATATTTTGCCTTTGCTGAGAAAGGACCCACGAAGATTAGATCTTGTACTATGACCCGATACCCTCTGCGTGGTGAACTAATGAGCTATCATGTGAAAGATCTGATTTAAATGAGAGTGTCCCGAATGTCTGTTACATTCATTCATTGGTTTTACGTGATTGTTTTAACATTATTTCGTGTTGGAATCTAAATTCTAAAAAAACTATTCAAGGATAGGTTCTTATGCTCGTCAGTGTAGTTCGCTGTCTCCAGTTGTCACTGACACGTTATGAGAAACGCTACCATATTTGCCGGCAACACAAATTAGCCTCCATCGTAGATGTGTAACTATATATATATGCCTTGTAAGTGAATGGGTATTTATTTTTCATAGCTGTGCAGTGAAAAGAAGAATATTCTGTTTAGGAGATAAACAGGACGTGTTTTCAGATTTGTGGGTTGTATTGAGTATTCGATGCCGGAAATTTCATTTGAAACTCGCGGTTTATCTCCCTGGTGAAAAAACAACTGAGGGTATCTGATTTGCTGGTGAGGTGAAATCAGTGAAAACTACGGTGGCCCATAAGGGACATGGAGTCTGTTTTTCAATAGTTTGATATTTCACTTACTGTTATCGTAACCTTTTGCAATTTAACACGATTTGTCATCCAAATATTTGATAAATCATGTTTAAAGTAGATATTCCCACCGCGGTGAAAATATTTTTGTTTTTGACATTTTCCTTTTAGTTTTTGAACTTTTCGTTTTTGTTTTGGTCATTTCCATTTTAGTTGTTGACATTTTCGCTTGACATTTTCGCGATTCAACAGCTACTTGAAAGTACATTTTCCATGTTTTCCGTTGTTTTTTATACATGATTTATCACATATTTGTATGACAAATTGTGTTAATTTGCAAAAGGTTACGATAAAAGTAAGTGAAATATCAAAATATTGAAAAACAGACTCCATGTCCCTTATGGGCCACCGTAGAAAACGGAGAGATTTTACGGCGCTTATGTGGAAGACAGAACCCTGAAAGCTGAACTCTGAAAGCTTTGGGTATGTGGTAGTTTTAGATAGTATAGATTAAAATCCGGTATATCATATGATTTCACGATATTTAAAAAAAAATAAGTTGAAGAGTGACGTTACTCCTTTGGTTGTTAGAGAGTAATGGGTGTTGTTAGAGAGTAAATCAATATGCGACCTTGACCTTCCGACAGGGTATAAAGTTGGAAAATGTAGTCCAATATTAGTCTTCACGAAAACGCCAAGAAACATGGTGTATTTCCCATTTCTGTTACTATTAAGCACATTAATTTTTAATCCGGGGTAACGGTAAATGTAATCTTTGATACGAAGTAACAATTGCCCTGGACTGACGCGTTCCTCGTGTTTGGAATTCTACCTGCAGGTGCCTGCATTTCACGTGGATATTGCAGGGTAAGAATCGTTGCTTCACCCAGTTTGTGCGTGGTTATGTCTTCGACTGGTGCATTTTTCTTTTGATGTATACATAAATGACAATACGTACATACACGGTACAGCAGAGTTATACAGCGGTACTGCTGAAATGTGGTGCAATATTTGTACCTTGCCTCGCTTTAGATCGATCGGTTGCCCATATGTTTCGTCATCAACACAGGTGATAACTTGGACTATATAAAAGCCTGTCCGTGGCAATGTGTATTGTATTTTCATAGCGATGTGCATGATGGATTGATCGTTTGGTTGTTCGGTCACATAAGTCTGGCGTTATTTGTTTGGTCAATCTGATGGAAACAACCCTGGTTTTATTCAACACTTTTAAGTTCCTGTGTGTACATTTACCATGGATAACAAGTTTGAGCCCCACATCACTATTTATACCGCTTGACATTCTGATGATGCTCCTATTGGAGTTTACGTGCCACCTGTTTTCCACAGCAAGGAGAATGGATGTTTTGAATGTTCGGGGCATGACAACAATGAACATGTTGAATTTGAGGCACTTTCACCACATAATGTACGTAATTGACTTCACCATAATCACAACCATTTACAAGTTATTTGTCCATTACATGCACTTCATCATGTCAAAACTCATGCTTATATGTAATAATTGTGTGTTAGTTGATTAAGTAACTTAGTAAGTGAATATCTTCTCAACATGCTCAAGATATCTCAGTCCTTGCACCATGCATTCATGAGAAGTATCAAAATGATTTATGATGTAGTGTTACACTTTCATGTGGTATATTTGTGCATGTGTATCAGCTTGATTAGTTTCAACATGTTCAATATGTTTTTGCAGACGGTAATAGACTACACAGAAACAGATGGCCACCAGACGATCTCGGCTTCAGGTTAAGCCTAACATTGGCCCTAAGCCCAGTAGGGGGGGAATTGCAGGGAGGAAATCTTCCAGTGGAGATGCAAAACCAACCAAAGATGCCAAGAAACCAGAACCAACTCAATGCAGTGATCAAAAGGAACCTGAACCTACTGCATGCAGTGATCAAAAGGAACCTGAACCTACTGCATGCACCAGTGATCCCAAGAAATATGAACCCACTGAAGATGCAGAGAAATGTGACACCATTAAATCTGAACTGACTACAGTAAAACAATCGACTCAAGAAAAGGTGGATTGTCTATTTCCTAAATTGATAGATGTTCCTGTTGAAAGAGTTAAAGAAGACATCAATGACACATCGAACATTCAGGAACCATCAACTAGCAAGTCAGCTATATTGATAGAAAAGTCTCTCACAGGAATTAAAAACAAAGGACCTGACAACGTTGTTGAAATTAAAGATACAACTTCAGAAAAGCATGACAAGAAGCCAGAGACAAGACCTAAATTCAGAAGCAGATTTCCCAAAGCTAAACCAAACCTTGCAAATATTGGGAGGCCTGAAAACAGGTACATGATAATGATGTGCACACCTGTACATATTTCCATGTTTTCTTATTATGCATAAGATTGATATTATCACTTGGAAGCTGATAACGTTTGTCATAAGAGACCACTAATATTGAACAAATGTTCAGGATATGACCAGGCTGATCGTCTGCTGATGGTGTGTCAGCGTCGTACCACAGCCACATATTTATTTGATCTTGCTATCAACCAATGTTTTGCATGTCCAAGTTACAATTATTTAATTTTGAACTTTAGTGGACAAATGGAATATTTCTGACTGGCATTAAAAAACAACATTTAAACAATAAAATCAAAACTAAAAGAAGAATCTGCCAATTATTTGATACAAAGCTAAAAATAGTAATAATGTTTTTACTTGGGTGAAATTGAGTCTCAGAATCATGATGATGGCCACACAAATGTTTGAACTTCAAGTATTGATACATGTTGTGATGAAGTTTGGTCCGTTATTTATGTAATTTGAGAACTGCATCAACAAATCATAGAATTGGTTGTAAGAACACCAGTGATTGATGACTTGTTTCAGGAAAACCTCTCATGTCCCCCCAGCTGCCAGTGCCAAACCACAACCAGAAGTTGATGCATCTGGCGAGCCAGAGGAAGAGCCAGTTTCAGAACAAGCCACTATAGAAAAGTGAGATTGTCATTCTCAAAACTTGGATTGTTTCAGATTTTGGAACCCATTTTAGTCAAGTTGCAAGCTAAATGGCTGATGAATATCACTAATTTCTTCAGTTAGTTTTTTTTCATTTTTTTTGTGTCCATGCTATATCTAAGTCACATGGTTATATTTGTTATTGTTCCGTTGTTCCCATATAAAAAATATATAATTAGCATCATTAGTTCCTTATGATTTAATTGCCTGTGAAGATCTGGGTTATAATTGGTCTTCAGAAAACCCATGCTTGTCATAAGAGACGACTTGAGGGATCGGGTAGTCAGCATGGTGAGACTCTCCGAGTTGGTTAATGCATGTCATCATATCCGAATTGCATAGATAGATGCTCATGATGTCAATCACTGGATTGTCTGGTCCATGCTGGATTATTTACAGACCACAGTCATATAGCTGGAATATTGCTGACTGCAGCGTGGAACAACAAACAGATCCTAGGAGTTGAACAAGGTCATGAGGGCATATATTGTAAAACTGCCTTGCCTTATGTGTCACAGCCTGTGTATAAATATTTATTAAGTTTATTTATTCAATCATGCAGAAGCAATGTACATCGTATAAGAAATAATGGCTTATTCAGCATGAACGTGAAGTACACTGAAGTATGTGGCAGATAGGTGCTGGAGTTTGTCAGAGCTATGGGGTAAGCTGCGTATTTGCAGTTAATATGCAGACTAAATCACCAGATCACAATTAATGTTGAGTTGCTTGTGCTCAAATCTACATCAAGAAATTTGATAACCCAATAGGCAATAGTATAAGTACCCTGTGTGTAATTACCCAATGGAGCTTTTTCCGCTTGTGTACATGTTTTTAGCGATGTTTTCTGGCTGACTGATTGCAGGCATCATGTAGACATGAACAAAACTGCAGTCAATGTGCAGATGTGCAACAACTCTCTTATTGTAACTTAGACATGTATCACTGTTAGGAATTCTATGCGCTATGTGTCTCACTTGGGGAGATAACTTAGACTATATAAAAGCATGTCCGTGTCATCATGGTTATTGCATACTGTAGTTTCAGCGATGTGCATGATGGATTGATTGTTTGGTGTTCGGTCACATAAGTCTGTAGTTTTCAACTTATTTGGTCAATCAGATGGAAGCAAACCTGTTTTTATTCAACACTGTCTGAATTCTATGCAATATATGTCTCACTTGGGACAATGAGCTAATTAGAAGTTACTTGAACACCACAGGAGTTTGTTTGTTTGTTTGTTGTTTAACACCGCACTCAGCTATATTCCAGCTATATGACAGTGGTCTGTAAATAATCGAGTCTGGACCAGACAACCCAGTCATTGATATCATGAGCATCGATCCACACTATTGGGATACAATGACATGCACCAACCAAGTCAGCGAGCCTGGCCACCCGATCCTGTAAATTGTCTCTAATGAAATGCATCGTCACCTTTTACGGCAAGCATGGGTAGCTGAAGACCTATTTTATCCGGGATCTTCATGGATCATCATAGAAGTAGAATTTCTATCAGTTTACAAACCTCAATAGACTGGATTCAAATAGTGTTAAGATATATTGAATATGCAAAGACAACTATGGAACCCAAATGTGAATGGTAACATGGGAGTAAATGCTCAATGGCTCAGTGGCACAAAACGTTATCTGGAGCCCTGTATGAATTGCACAACTGTGTTCCAGGACCACTGAGGAGGCCCCACTGAATGTGACAACAGATGTGGAGTGCAGTGGCCAAGACAAACTGAGGGGTGGGGACCATGCTGACCACCCCCAGGCGTCAGAGAGCGAGGCTGACCTGGAGAAGAGTCCTCGCAAATTTGAACCCAAGCCTCCTGAAAGGGGGGAGAAGTCTATCTTTGAAAAACCTGTTGTGCCAATATTGAAACAAGAGAAGAAACCAGTAGTCAAGGTAAGTTAGGAGTGATTGGTAATGAGGATGGGAAACTTTTTATGGATAACAACTTCTATTTTGTTTGTAATCCCATTTCAGGGCTATATGGTATTTTCAGCCTTTGTTCATGTTGTTTGCCATACTTATTCCTGTCAAACAGGGAAGCTGTTATTGATGTTGTCCATTGATGATATTTCCCTCCCCCATAAGCACAATCTGTTGATGATGCGGTGATAAACTACATCAGACATGTTGTTGACAGGTCCACAGTGTTTTGTTCTTGAAACGTTGTATAATACAATCAAGTGATGAACTTGTGCCATTTGCTGTGGAAATCATCAAAAACGAACACAAGTTGTACAGATATTTTGTATACGAACATGGTATGCCGATATCAAAACTGTACAATATTATTTACTGAGCTTGTACTTCATGTTTACAGCATTTGTGTCCAAAGAAGCGGAAACAACTACCTCCAATTAATGCGCCCCCAGACAGAGCCACCATGAAGATGATTGATCTGATCTACTGGAACCCCTCAAGCAATCCGTGAGTGTAGAAATTGTAATAGTGGGTCTCTGGATAATAAATCTGTGGTCAGTGGTGCAGTGATTTGCGGTTCTCAGTTACTTCTCTAAGCTCATATATTCTCATCTTAGCTCATCCATGACCATTCAAATCCCCAAGCTGAACGTGAGTTTGAACCGTGGATTTGCTCCTTGATTGTCTCAGGACAGTAGTAAACACTGATGCTGGTTCAGAAGTAATGCAACGAAAATAAGGTTAAAACTAAGGATTGTTTTTCTTTTGGTAAATGAAATATAACATTAAAAATATCTTTTCAGATACCAGTAATAATTTTGTTTTTCAAGTATGTTGCCATGTTTGCATGTCAGTTAAGCTTATATTGTTCTTTCCCCTATTGTAAATGTCTTACGAAAAACATGAAAAATCTAACAAACCGTCTGCTAAAAATGACAATTTCCCTAAACCCCTGTCCCCCCCCCCCCCCCCCCAAACACTCTTCTTTTGGAGTAAATGAAACCACTGCCTGTCACTCACAGCTCTCGCTGGCATTGAAAAATCAATTCATTTTATTGCTTGATGCAACAGGATTTCCTGAATAACACTGTGCATGTGTTTCAGGATGACAAAGAAGTTAGTGCCAGGCAAGCCTAAGGAAGTGTGTGTGACTGACTTGACAGCTGCCACTGAGGAGGAGAACCGAGTTGACACACCGGGAGACGACGGAGGTGAGGACTCACTTCCCGTGCCCCAAGTCAAGATCGGACCAGATGGCCAGATCATTCTCAATGAGGCCAGGTATGTTTGTCAGTACTATTTTACCTTTGTTGTTTCCGTGTTTGCTAATAATGACAATTTGGTGTTCACAATGTCAAAAAGTCCTTTAGAACTACAAAATTCACAAGTTTGAACACCTGTTCAGTTTACATGAATTCAGTTTGTGTTTAGTGATTATTGCTTTGAACATGTTGGTGTTGTTTTGTTTTAGTTTGGTTGTGGACAACAAGACCAGCGATGAACCAATGGAAACTGATATCATTGAGGAGGATGAGAGCACAGTCAACTACGAGAGCTTCCGTGAGAAGAGGCCCAAAACGTCATGGAGTGAACTCGGTAGGTCAAACTCATCACAACAGGGGAATGGCAGTGAACACAGCCTTCTTTCAGATAAATCCCCTGCTTCCATGTTTGTCTTAAAGGGAGATTAGGCTCAGGTCAAATGGCAGGCCAGGCACATTTGATTCAGTTAATTCAAATCCACTTGTTTTGTCTGTATGCTATTTTTGTATGTTTATCATTCTAGCAGTTGATGATTGCCATAATTACACAATGGTTGACACAAGTCATTCATCACAACTTGTAGACCTAGCCTGTAAATGGGCATCAGATCATTGAGCAAAGTCCCCCTTTAAGAGACTGTGAAAGAAGATCAGGTTATCAGGCTGGGTGATTGCATGTCAGTTTGTCATCTGAAGCGCTGCAGTTCGCTGTCCAGAGTTGCATCCCTTGGGCATGTGGGAAATCTATGACTGTGGGTTGGAAGCCCGGTTTGCACTGGTTTGCACTAGGTTTGTTAGCACCATACCCGTGCATGTGGGTTTCACCAAAGTAGTAAATGTCTGAGACCTGCATCACTTCAGGCTTTCCTCCCACATTGAGCTAACATGAGGGATATAACTGGAATACTGTTGAAAGCAGTGTCGTTTTGCCCCTCTGACACTGACCACGACTCATGCTTTCAGTGACTGGTTTATCTCAGAGTATTTACAGTCAGCGATGATGTAGCTGGAGTATGGCTGACTGCTGCATTACACAGCGTATGGTCACTTGCTGAACCTTGTGGTTAAAGCGTTCGCTCGTCACGCCGAAGATCCGGGTTAGATTCCTGACATGGGTACAATGTGTGAAGCCCATTTCTGGTGTCCCCTGCTGTGATATTGCTGGAATGTTGCTAAAAGCGTCGTAAAACCATACTCAGTCACTTGCTGAACTAGAAGTTACACATGTTTTGGACACAAAGTAAATGTTCTGACACGTTTCATCAACTTCCCCTGCTGTGTTTGCAGAGACGGTGAAGTTCTACAAGGCCCTCAGTACAGTGGGGACAGACTTCTCTCTTATGATGCACCTCTTCCCAAGTCGAACACGCCGAGAAATCAAGGTAACCATATTCTGCCGTGTACACGCTTGTCTCTCAGCTACAATGACGAGTAGCCCATTTTGAGCAGCCCTGCCTCCCCAGGAAACCCACAAGCATGTTATTCATGAAAGAAACCATTCTATTTTCAGAACAAATTCAAGAAGGAGGAGAAGTTACACAGACGAGAAATAGACAAGGCCATTCGTGAGTGTAATGTGTGTTCTCATGTCCTGATTGGTCACAGGTGTCATCAACATATTAGTCCGTCATGGCCTGTGTTGGTTATAAGGCTAACCAAAAAGGGAATTGGTTCTCAGGCAATGGCTTTTCAAAATATAGTGCTTGTTCAAACTAGTATGTAACCAAATAAGCAGTTGTGTACCATCAACCTGAGGCAGGGCCTCCCCACATAAACAAGCCTACAAACTCCTATTGCCACTATGACCATAACACGACATGCATGTAAAGGGAAGTAACTGCATGTTATTTGGATCACATTGTTTTTAAGTATCAGGATTTTAAATTATTTATTTTGAAAATGCAAAAAAAATGAAACATGCAGCGGACGTTATGATGATCATGATGATGTGGGGGGTGCCTGAGAACCAAGACTATTATGTTTTAGCCAGTGCCTTTACTTTATATTTTTAAATATTAGCGAGTGACGGTAGCCAGTGTTTTCTTTAGATAAATCTAGCCTCTAGTTGGAGGTTTATAGTAATTTTCTTATCCAGAAATGATATTCTTTCATGGAGAAAGTTTGCTGAGAATATTTTAGTATAATTAACTAAGAATTGTATAATTTGAAATTTAGATATTACACATTACATTTGAGACTAGTGATTTGTGTAAGTTACATGATAACTAGATTAGTTGATATAAAGAGTAGTCCTAGATGACACTCTAGTGGACTCCAGGTCGACTGGTTGTGTCATTCAAGAAACCTTGCACTACTCTTTACACTGGCATATCCATGACCTCCTTGCTATGTACGATTCAGAGAACCGAACGGCCTTCAACATGACAGACTTTGAGCGTCTACAGGAGGAGGCGGAGGAGGAACACCGGCTGAAGCAGCAGAAGGATCTCATCAAGAAGGAGAAAGGTCAGCGGGGAAAGAAGCGGAAGACAGATGCTGATGACATCAAGGAGAACAAGGCTGTCAAGACACGCAGGCGAAAGAAAAGTAAACAATATAATCATGTATCATTAGTAACTGGTTGTCTTGTGGACAGTTTCAGTGTTTGTCAGTTGTTTAAATCTAATTAGCAATGTTAGTGTTTTGCCACCAAATATGGTAATCCAGATAATCAATGATGAGTTTTGTTCACCTTTATGAGCGTATTGCAGAAAACAACATTCGCCGATTTACTTCATTTCTCTTCCCAAATTGGCCATTCCTATGATAAGGCCAAATAATATTTTGTTTACATTTTCCTGACTGACCCCAGTGTTGATCCTCTCTTCTGAACCCCTTGCTCTTGTTTTTGTATGTTGTTGGCACAGATTTTATCACCATCCCAGCATTGTCCATATTATGACATGAGCATAACTGTTTTGCAATTCTACAAATTACCATCTTTGGAAGAAAAGGTGGACTGAAACAGGAAAAACTCATATATATTGTTAAAGTAATCACTGCATAATTAACTTTCACGGTAAATCCTTACATTGCTCTGAGGAGACCAATTGTCCGTCAATGTAGGGTCTTGTTTTCACATTTGAGATTGCTCTCATTGTGTCAAATTATTTTTCAGAAAAGACTGTGTTTCACGAAGACGAAGATGATGACCTTGATGATGCTGAGAGGTAGCAATGAATTACTTACTTCCCCTATACTCTAGTCAGTAGGCTAGTCTGGTGCTAGGTCTTGGTACTCGCCGAGGGAGGCAGCAACTTGTGTGGTATAACCTACAGTGGGACTATGTTACAGTGACACTCTGTTGCTCTGGAAATGATTACAATGGTATTTACCATATTTGTTCTGCAAGGAAAAAATTGTTAACTTGGTTTTCATGCTGTTAAAATAATTTCCAGGGAGACATTTTCAGAAGAATGTTGCTGTTTAAGGTTGTGAATTAGAACAAGAATCTTTTGAGTTTTTGTCCTTGTACTCTGCCATCTTTCGTCCATAATCTTGTCATTCCAGACAACAGGTGTGTCAGTGGAAACTGATCAGTCCATGTTAACAATGTTCTGCTGGGGTTTATCACACAGAGGCAGTGTTCAGTCTGCACACCTTGAGGTGGAGTACCAAGACTCCACTGATCACTGTGATGTATGTCTCGAGGCAGACCCAGAGCTTTTGTTGGGCTGTCTGCATTATTTATTTTGGCAGATGTTACTGGGAAACTTACATCTTTGTCTGTTTGTATATTTTGTTATGAAAAGTTCCAGCTATGCATTGCTGACTGTGTGTATGTCTGTTCTGATGAACCACTGGATGTTGACAGCATAATGTATGTGTTTGTACATGCGTGAGTGAGTGAGTGCATGCGTGCGTGCACATGTGTGAAACAATAGTTAGTTGTGACACTGGATGCTGAGAGAGACATATTTCTTGTCTCCTATAACATGTTTATTGTGCATTTCCACTATTTTTATTTTGTTGTTACATGTACTTGATAATTTGCCTTGTTAGTTCCTAAGATTGTTTAATACTTCTGTTCAGTAATACACATATACACATGGTTTGACTCCTGTGAAGATTCCGGGTTAGTAACCCATGCTTGCTGTAAGAGACGACTATGCTTGTCGTAAGAGGCGACTAACGGGATCGGGTGGTCAGGCTCACTGACTTGGTTGATGTATGTCATCATATCCTTATTGTGTTGACCGATCCTTATGGTGTCAATCACTGAATTGTCTGGTCCAGACTCAATTATGTACAGCTAGCTGGAATATTGCGGAGTGCAGTATTAAACAACAATCAAACAAAACACGTGGTTTTCATGTGCCGGAGGAAACCAATCTCTGCAATAAAAGACAAGGATATCAAGTGTACCCTGTTACAGTGAAAACAACAAATGGATATCTGTGGAGACAGGCACTCTGCTTGCTCAAGTGGAATTTGGAGTAGAATATGTTTCTATTAAGCTATACTTGTCATACGAGTTGACTTGTTGGGTGGTCTGTGACTTGGCTGATAGCATGTCATCCTGCCCTGATGGCGTGGATTGTTGCTCATGCTGTCAGTCACTGGTTTGCCTTGTCCATACTGATTATTTACAGGCCGTGTTGAGGCCATGTGGCCATCTCATTTTTGAACAAAATTACTGCAGATAAAACCTATTTGCTGGTGCTGACAATAAGCAGGATCTTGTGAAGAAGTGGATGATTTGTCTGTGGAAGCAGGTTTAAAGACAACACTGAAACTGCTTCAACTGAGAATCTCTGTACAGACATTAAAGTGCCCTTGTGCCTGACGTACAGCGACTTGGTTGACCAGTTTCAGTGACATCGGCGTGAGGATTGTGTACAGATTGGCATACCTCATCGGGATGTTTGTGGGCCATTGCTAAAGTATACTTAACAGTTTGTTTAACAATAGTGTAATGTTAGACTGAGAAGGGATTATGCCTGGTTATTGTAAAACACTGTAAATATAACATTTTGAAATTTGATACAACCTTAAAACATGAAACATTACATGAGGTGTCTTGAGCACTTGTGATACATTGGTGAATTGTGACGTCCCTGATTTCTGGTGTTCCCCACACAAGCTGTTGCTGGAATAAAGCAGCACACAACAGACTCTCTCCAATATTATGTGAACAGCAGTATTTCCTTCAGACTAAGCAGGGTACCAAATTCCTTGTGGGAGGATGCCAGTGGCATGGATAAAATCAGAAAGGAGCAGTTAACACAGATTCCTGTTGCCTGACGAATCTTTATTTCTTCATACAATATGATGATCAATATTTCACAAAACTAGTGACAAATGTTCTTCAGCAAACAGTTACATTTAATATACACAAATTCTTAATGCACAGTATGATTGATATGGTAAGCCTGAGACTCAGAAGTTGAATAGGATGGTGTCAAGATAAAGGAAAACTTTCTAGATTACAACTGTAGATTATCTAGGTCGTGTTGAAACTTTGTTCACTGTATCAAGATGGGTCGTCTTGTTGGCACACAAGAACATTCTGAAGGCCACACCTAAACATCTGTTAGGGCCTTGAGGTACACTTCCACAAAACAACATCTGTCCCTTCACAGTTGGTTCCTGTGCCAGTGGAGTAATGCAGGATACACACGGTTGTTAACGGGTTCCCATGCCAGTGGAGTAATGCAGGATACACGCGGTTAACGGGTTCCCATGCCAGTGGAGTAATGCAGGATACACGCGGTAAACGGGTTCCCATGCTAGTGGAGTAATGCAGGATACTCACAGTTGTTAACGGGTTCCCATGCTAGTGGAGTAATGCAGGATACACAGGTTGTTAACGGGTTCCCATGCTAGTGGAGTAATGCAGGATACACACAGTTAACGGGTTCCCATGCTAGTGGAGTAATGCAGGATACACAGGTTGTTAACGGGTTCCCATGCTAGTGGAGTAATGCAGGATACACAGGTTGTTAACGGGTTCCCATGCCAGTGGAGTAATGCAGGATACACGCGGTAAACGGGTTCCCATGCTAGTGGAGTAATGCAGGATACACACAGTTAACAGGTTCCCATGCTAGTGGAGTAATGCAGGATACACAGGTTGTTAACAGGTTCCCATGCTAGTGGAGTAATGCAGGATACACGCGGTTGTTAACGGGTTCCCATGCTAGTGGAGTAATGCAGGATACACACGGTTGTTAACGGGTTCCCATGCTAGTGGAGTAATGCAGGATACACAGGTTGTTAACGGGTTCCCATGCTAGTGGAGTAATGCAGGATACACACGGTTGTTAACGGGTTCCCATGCTAGTGGAGTAATGCAGGATACACAGGTTGTTAACGGGTTCCCATGCTAGTGGAGTAATGCAGGATACACACGGTTGTTAACGGGTTCCCATGCTAGTGGAGTAATACAGGATACACACGGTTGTTAACAGGTTCCCATGCTAGTGGAGTAATGCAGGATACTTAGGTTTTTAAAGGGCTTCCCATGCTAGTGGAGTAATGCAGGATACTCAGTTGTTAACAGGTTCCCATGCTAGTGGAGTAATGCAGGATACACACGGTTGTTAACGGGTTCCCATGCTAGTGGAGTAATGCAGGATACACACGGTTGTTAACGGGTTCCCATGCTAGTGGAGTAATGCAGGATACACAGGTTGTTAACGGGTTCCCATGCCAGTGGAGTAATGCAGGATACACACGGTTGTTAACAGGTTCCCATGCTAGTGGAGTAATGCAGGATACACACAGTTGTTAACGGGTTCCCATGTTAGTGGAGTAATGCAGGATACGCACAGTTAACGGGTTCCCATGCTAGTGGAGTAATACAGGATACACACGGTTGTTAACAGGTTCCCATGCTAGTGGAGTAATGCAGGATACTTAGGTTTTTAAAGGGCTTCCCATGCTAGTGGAGTAATGCAGGATACTCAGTTGTTAACAGGTTCCCATGCTAGTGGAGTAATGCAGGATACACACGGTTGTTAACGGGTTCCCATGCTAGTGGAGTAATGCAGGATACACACGGTTGTTAACGGGTTTCCATGCTAGTGGAGTAACGCAGGATACTCACTTTTACAGGTTCCCATGCTAGTGGAGTAATGCAGGATACACCATGACACAAGATGACCCGTAAGCTTTCTTCCAATAAAAACACCATTCAGCTTGATCATGACACAAGATGACCCGTAAGCTCTTCTTCCAATGAACACCCCCTTCAGCTAGATCATGACACAAGATGACCTGTAAGCTCTTCTTCCAATAAACACCCTCTTCAGCTAGATCATGACACAAGATAACCTGTAAGCTCTTGTTCCAATAAACACCCCCTTCAGCTAAATCATGACACAAGATGACCCGTAAGCTCTTCTTCCAATAAACACCCCCTTCAGCTAGATCACGACACAAGATGACCCGTAAGCTTTTCTTCCAATAAACATCCCCTTCAGCTAGATCATGACACAAGATGATATGTGAGCTCTTCTTCTAATAATCACCCCCTGCAGCCAGATCATGACAAAAGATGACATGTGAGCTCTTGTTCCAATAAACACCCCCTTCAGCTAGATCATGACACAAGATGACATGTGAGCTCTTCTTCCAATAAACACCCCCTTCAGCTAGATCATGACACAAGATGACATGTGAGCTCTTCCAATAAACACCCCCTTCAGCTAGATCATGAGAAAGATGAAATGTGAGCTCTTGTTCCAATAAACACCCCCTGCAGCTAGATATGACACTAGATGACATGTGCACTCTTCTTCAAATTAACACCCCCTTCAGCTAGATCATGCGAAAGATGACATGTGAGCTCTTCTTCCAATAAACACCCCCTTCAGCAAATCATGACACAAGATGACATGTGAGCTCTTCTTCCAATAAACACCCCCTTCAGCTAGATCATGACACAAGATGACCTGTAAGCTCTTCTTCCAATAAACACCCCCTTCAGCTAGATCATGACACAAGATGACCCATAAGCTCTTCTTCCAATAAACACCCCCTTCAGCTAGATCATGACACAAGATGACATGTGAGCTCTTGTTCCAATAAACACCCCCTTCAGCTAGATCATGACACAAGATGACCCGTAAGCTCTTCTTCCAATAAACACGCCCTTCAGCTAGATCATGACACAAGATGACATGTAAGCTCTTCTTCCAATAAACACCCCCTTCAGCTAGATCATGACACAAGATGACCTGTAAGCTCTTCTTCCAATAAACACCCCCTTCAGCTAGATCATGACACAAGATGACATGTGAGCTCTTGTTCCAATAAACACCCCCTTCAGCTAGATCATGACACAAGATGACCCGTAAGCTCTTCTTCCAATAAACACGCCCTTCAGCTAGATCATGACACAAGATGACATGTAAGCTCTTCTTCCAATAAACACCCCCTTCAGCTAGATCATGACACAAGATGACCTGTAAGCTCTTCTTCCAATAAACACCCCCTTCAGCTAGATCATGACACAAGATGACATGTGAGCTCTTGTTCCAATAAACACCCCCTTCAGCTAGATCATGACACAAGATGACATGTAAGCTCTTCATCCAATAAACACCCCCTTCAGCTAGATCATGACACAAGATGACCTGTAAGCTCTTCTTCCAATAAACACCCCCTTCAGCTAGATCATGACACAAGATGACCTGTAAGCTCTTCTTCCAATAAACACCCCCTTCAGCTAGATCATGACACAAGATGACCCGTAAGCACTTCATCCAATAAACACCCCCCTCAGCTAGATCATGACACAAGATGACCCGTAAGCTCTTCATCCAATAAACACCCCCTTCAGCTAGATCATGACACAAGATGACGTGAGCTCTTGGATCCCAGAAATTCCAGCCTAGTTTGGCAAGGGTGGAAACTGGACTTTTACAGTCAGTTAACTCCCTTGCCACGGGAAGATGAGGTAGATAAGGTATTACATGTGGTTGTTATTCCCAGGTTATTTTACGAGAAAATTGCACACATTATGCTTGATCTCTGCATCTACAAAATGCCCAGCATAACAGGAAATACCATGAATTTTGTTGAAAAACATGTCTATTGGTCTTTTATCTAAGAATATACATAAGTCTATAGTCTCCTGTTTGCCACAGCCCAGACTTCACCTGAAACAAAATGACCTAGCTTTTTTGACTGCGCATTACATATTTTCCCCAAACCTGTATCCCAGACTGTTAGGTGTGTATTGTACTCAAGTGTATATTCTATACATGGCCAAGTAAATATGGCAGGTGTCTTGGGGACTTGCTGTACATCTCCTGGGGTACATGTTACTTTTATATTATTATACTCTTTATAAATGTGTACGATCACAGAGTGACACATGACTCGTCACTCAGGCTCTCTCCCCAAAGGATCTTAGTTTCCTATAAGAATGCTGGGTGTTTGTGTTGATAGTGGATGTAATCATCATATTTGTGGACGGTGCATTGATGATGGGCCTTGTAGAAACGGCTCGGTAATTCTAAGTTCCCACACAGAAAACAACAAGTCAACAGTTGGACCACCAGAAGCAAATATTCAGTTCAATCATGTGAGTTTATTCCCCAAACAACCAGCTGTGGTACATACATGAGTATATACATATACTATTTATACAAACTGTATGCCGGAATGGCAGATATAGAGATTATTATACGAGCATGTGTGTCATTTGGATTAACAAAACAATTTTACAAATTCTTGTATTCTTGTTTCATAAAATCAGTATGACACACATGTGAGTGTAATAATTTCTTTAATAATTATTATTTCTCAGTCCTTTTGAGCTCCACTTTAGAAAAATGCCGTGATCACAACCGCTGTCCTAGAAAACCCCAATTTGTCGAATGACATCAACAATCTTCAGCTTTGACATCATTTCTATTATGACGCCATTCCAGCCTTATATCACAATAAGATTCAGATGACATAATCAATGCTGTCCAGATGACGGAACCAATACACTGATGTTCGAAAAGTGATATTTGCAAAAGTGCATATACAATTTTCATGAACTTGGTTATGTCTAACCCTATGGGTAATAAATATGCCGTCTAGTCTAGTGAGTTAAATGGTATTCTCCTCCACTCACTCACCTTTTTTCGGTTGCAACTGATGAATTTTGGAAATTGTATTGTTGAATCATAGCCATTACGCTTGTAATGAAACATGGCAGCTAACAGAGATCCGTTAGCATGGCTCATGTTGTGGTCACATAGTGTGTATTTACTCACCCAAGTGTGATGGATGTTCTTACGTGTGCCAGCAGTCTGCTGGCATCCATGTCTAGCAAGTAACACCAGCATGGTAAAGCTGAGCCTGAAAGTTCTTGAAATGAGCTTGCAACTGCTGCCATTATGGACAGCATGTTGTGATGTTACAGACCTGCACCAGATGTTGCTGGAATGTTTAATCAGGTAGAATACCGGTAGTGTTTAAAGATGTCTCTCTGTGGTTAGGGTAATCATAAAAGTTGGATGAACACAGAGTTCCAGGTACGCTGCATATTTGCCTGAATACAGAAATAAAATCCCAGTCCGATTTATTTTTGGATGCTTGTGTACAAATATGTAGGAGAAATATGAAGCACCTGTTAGTGTAACAGTATGTCACAGTATGTGTAATTACCCAGCGTTGTCTTTTCAGCCAGATCTGGGTAGAAATAGGTCTTCAGCAACCCATGCTTGCTGTCAGAGGCGACTGTTGGGATCAGATGGTTAGGCTCGCTGACTTGGTTGATACATGCCAACACTGCCAGTGTAAGGGGGTGTTTGGGGAGAGGTAGAAGGGGCAGTAAATATTCCTGTCACACACTCTCTCACTAGCATGTCAGTGATGGGTGATAGCAATCTGTACATGTTTTGTGAAATTCCAGGCAATTATAGCTCTGCAGATTTGTTTAGTCTCTGAAAATGAAGCGAGTCCCTGGGCTCCTTTTTACTACATTTCACAACTATAATTCAACCACTGAAATGTTCATTTCAGAGACTAGATGTTAGTCTAGGCAAGCAGTAGAACTTGGGCCTGGATTTCGAGGAAGATGGTTGCGTAATGTACATCCACTGGAGATCAGTGTCACCTGTCTTATTGTGAATATTTACACTGTGTTCCTTCAGTTTCAGGGCGGAGGGAGACAGTGGCAAGAAGCCAGCTAGCAGTCGGGTGAAGGAAGTGGTGGAGATCCTCATGGACATGAGCAGAGGGAAGCTGTCAGCAGGCACCAAGGGTCAAGGTGAAGGTCAGAATGACCTCAGTGATGCTGAGAGTGAGGCTCCGAGTGAGGCGCCTAGTGAAGCAGTGAGTGTTACCTCTGATGTGTTTGTGCCCCGAAGTGTACGGTCGACTTTGAGGAAAAAGATAACTACATGCAATATTGAAGAAGATAGGACAATTGATAATCAAATCCTAGCAACAGACATTGCAACCTCAGGAGATATCGGTCATCTAGTCAACAATGTTATGTCCAAATCTGTGGTACCTGAAGCTGTGAAGTCTGAGGCAACAAATAGTGACATTCCCTCAGCGATTCCTTCAGTGTCTTCTGCCAACTCTGGGAGTGTCTCTCACTGTCCCCCCACACCGAAAGTTCCGGCAGTGTCCGTCAACTCGGATAATGTGGGTGGGGTGCAACACATGGAGATCCCCGAGGGCCTACTGCCCATCATCAACACTGCGGGGGGTGCAGACAAGGTGCAGATAGTGCTGGTGCACGACGTGGATGCCGACTCGGGGCAGACTGTTGTCCATGTGTATATATTGCCCAAGACGGCAGAAGAGTTCTCTATAGGTGGAAATACAGTGCAGCTAACACCTACCAAAACCAACCCAAACTCTTCTGATCGTACAGCTCAGTGTTCGCAATCAAACAGGACTTCTCAGGGAAATGTTTTTAAACATGAACCATTGTGTTCAGAACCATCAGCCTCAACATCCTCTACTGCGATGACTGTTACTTCATCCACCCCTTCCCAGCCCATAGCTTCAACCTCCAGGGCTGTTACCTCATCTCCTCTCACCCCCTTTAGAAGACTGTCCTCAAACACTGTCACTCTTGCACAGACTGCAGCAGTGTCGGCAGTGAAACCCTCATCTCCAACATCACCGCTACCGTCCTCAACACTTCACACAGCAGCAATGTCGCCTGGAGGGTCAGACAAACTGGACATTGAAGGCATGAACCCATTGACTTCACCTTCACCTTCACCTTCACCTTCACCTAGGGTTTGCTTGTTCAAGGATGAAGTTGCTGAAACGTCAACAGATGTCGGTCTCGCTGTGAAGAAGGAATAAGTGTGTATAGGGAAGGGAGTGCACGTGCACCAGAAATAGATAAAGAATTGTTCATTCGTCAGGTCTTGACAGTTGTGCATACTGTTTTTATTTAAGTTTTTAATCAGGGTAACCATGAAATTGAATGAACTTGCACATATAGTATTTGTATGCCAGATTATAGTCCTGCATGTCCTCTTTTAATTATTTTATCACAGTTATGTTTTGATTTTTAAGGGAAAACATATTTTTAGAATTTTTCAGATATTATTTGGGATATTTTATTTATAAGCAAAATAAATTATATGGAAAAACATGTTTATTTCCTGATCTTGCACTGACTGATAGGCAGATGGAGAATCATCGATATCACAATCAAAACCTAGAAATGGCAGTAAAGCCATGAGGATGAAAATGGCCAGCAGACATTTTTAGCCTTGTGTTATAATCTCCACATGATTTGTGAGTGCATTTTCATGTGTGCTGCCATTTGTTTTATATGAAAGAAATCAATTTCAAAGACTATTGTAAATATTTGTCATCATGTCACATTGTTCCATTGTAGGAGAGTGATGAAATTTGTTGGGACTTGAAAACTGTTGGCATAGATGTAAAATTATTACTGATTTTGTGTTTGCAAAATATTGCCAGTAACATGATTAGAAATGTAGAGGGTTCTTTCCACACACTGGTACGTAGTGTATGTTCTATTTTTCTATTCAGCATTAGGCCATAATATCTTAGATTGTTATCAGAATGTCATTCCGCCAGCCTCACTACCAAGTACCCGCCTTCTGAAAAAATATGAATGGAAATGAAATAGTTGCTTTGATTTATTGTGGCCTTAGTATATGGGCTTTATGACACATATGATTCAGTGGCCTGGAGAAAGAGAATAACGGTCAATTATCAAAAGCAGACTTAAGAAATACTGAGGGAGCATCCATTTGATTTGGATGGGTTTGAGAACAGTCTAGTTTTTACCCAAGTTATGTCCACAAACTATTTATTTACTGAGCACCATCAAACAATCTATTCCTTTTCACTATTAACACAAAAAATTAAAATTGAAAATTCAAACAATCTATTCATTTTTTTCAACACTGCCAACAAACTCTATATTTGGGGCATATATCCGAAGAAACTGTTCCTATAACAAATCTTCCCACCCACCCCAAAGATATCAAAGGGGTGCTCCCTAATGGACTAAGTAAATTCATATTTAGCACAACTGTGTTTTTGTTTATTTAGCCTGCGCCAATTGTGTCTCTAGGTATATCTGCACCATACCCACGCTGACTGGTTTCACCGGTAAACGTCTCAGACCTGCAGCACTTCTGGCTTCCCTTGCACAGTCAGAACAGATAAAGCAGACATTTATTCAAAGCAGGGTTACCCCAAGCTCCCTCTCATCATGTTCTCTGCAGCTCCTGTCATGTTTCTCTCCCCAAACCAGCACTTCCTGTCTCTCAGTGGGGACATGTGAAAGAAATAAGTCCACAAATATTGCCATATCATGGTCTGTTATAATACACACCTGTTGAAGCTCCCTACAGCGTCAAGGACAGCCTCCCTAAGTCACCTGTCTGGTTTTAGTAAAAGTCATCTTGATAACCCTTGTTTAGACTGGTGATAGATGCACCTAGTATGAGTAATTATGGTTAAGTTAAAACTGCACATATGCAGGGATTTCTTATATTGAGAGTTTAACTGATTCTACCATGAATTTGGAAATTCCTCGATTTTGATTGGTCAGTCAGAGGTTTCAAATCACAACAAACCCCTCTGATTGAAACAGCTGATTTGACAGCCGCATCACAGCATAAGTTAATATTTTTAGAATAGTATTTCTTTTACAGTCATTTTCCATAGGCATATTTAAATAATTATGTGTACATTATAGGCTACATAATGAAAACTTGCGGTTACTTCAATATTCAAAGGATGTGGGGCAATATATTTCGTGCATAAAACACAATAGAAATCTACAAAGATAATGTATTTCAAGTTTGGAGGACAACAGAGAGCTTTGCTATTTGGCACTCTTCTATATACGACTGTGTCGTCATATCATTTGCGCCACAGAGCAATGTGACATTTTAATTGTGACATGAGGTGTAGAATGAAACCATAGTAAGGCTTGCTTATTTTTCTTTAAGGGCTGCCTACCTTATATTTGCTTACGAAGTTGCCGTGCTGTACATGACTTGAGTGCCTGTCATAAGTATTACGCTGTAGACAAACTGCTTGAGTGTATACAGCTCCATATTTTGTTTAAAGGCTGTTGTCGGTGATTCCGTAAATTCTGATCGACAACTCACTCAAAACATTGGACCCACCCCATGCCACTTCACTCAATGTATTTTCTAACACCAAAGAGTTCAAGTCTTATTTAGTCATGGTAGAATGGAGATAAACATACTGTATTTCCAAGGAAGAAGGTTACCTGTAGGTTTTAAGGTTCTAAATTGAACATTTGAAACTTCACGCTTTTCGTTCAAATCTGCATTTATCGTCAATTGGTGTAGAACTTCACTCATAAAACTTTCTTTCCCTTCACAGCTGCCATATATAATTAATGGATGTTAATGATGACCCAAGACTTTGCTAGTTTAGGACCTAAAGTTGGTGCAAATATGACGGAGGTAATCTGCAGTAAATATTTCATATGCTCATGGCATTTAGCCTGGAGATCTTCTTCTGTCATTTCCTGGGTTGACACCCAATGCTATTCTCTTGGGACATGCTTTCTTGGGACCTTTGTAACTCATGAAATGTGCTCACAAACTGAGACTCACAGGGTTATATAATGGAGTTATTCTTGAGAATTCAAACAATGAAGTGTTTCAGCTGACCTGCCCCACGTGCCAGGGTGAGCCAATGTCAGTGGGGCCCTCCAGCATCTGCAAAGAAGTATTTGCATTTTTTATTTCTGCTTCATGAAAACGTAAGATTTTACACAATGACTCCATCTCTGCAAATTTAGTCACCGATGTAGTGTAATATTTTGATAGCAGCATTTCCTAACTGGTAATACATTATGGAAACTATATACAGTCGAACCTGGTGTCAAACTTGGATGTGTCAAATTCCTGGTTGTCTCGAACTCACCTTCCGGTCCGAATTCCTTCAATATTTATCATCCTTTATACTCGGATCTGTTGAACTGGACATGTCAACTTCCTGGGTGTCTCGAACTCATATGGGAGTCCCAAGTATCCAAATTAATTTTTAAATTCCTGATGTCTCGAACAGTTCAAAATAACGTCCCCACACTCGCCAACTTTCAGCTCACTTCTCAAACAGTTGACGGACCTCACTGTGATAAAGGCAGGCTACCTTCTTACAACATGCCAATATTCAATGAAGCCTAGTTAACAAGCACACATTACATCAATTGTCCAATGGAACAGTAAGATTGATGATGGCCCTGAGTTGCCGCCTCCGTCACTACCTGCAGCACTGGGGGCGGTCGGGTTCCCTACTGGTTAAAGCCTTCGCTCGTCATGCCGAAGACCCGGGTTTGATTCCTGACATGGGTACAATGTGTGAAGCCCATTTCCGGTGTCCCCGCCGTGATATTGCTGGAAAATTGGCGTAAAAACATACTCTCTCTCTCTCTCTCACTCACTCACTCACTCACTCACTCACTCACTCACTCACTCACTCACTCACTCGCAGCACTGAAATGTAGTGTTGCGTCAAGACCTGGTAATAATCTCTCGTAATTCTCAATGAATTAAAAAAAAATGTAATTATAAAAAATACTCAAATGGCAAAAAGATAATATATATATTTATGAATATTTACAATAAAAGAGGTTCTTTGTCTGTTGCCAAACATGTCTACAGTGCACAGTTCAGTACTCATGCTGTAGGGAGTATTGTTTCTGTTCTCAGCAGCCAGCCTCTTCTTTGGTAACACACATGCCTGTGTACAGTCCTACACACTCTCCTGTAACACATTCTGAACAACCTGTATGGTGTTCTGGTAACCTTGGTAACACATTTGCCTGTGGTACAGTCCTACACACTCTCCTGTAACACGTTCTGAACAACCTGTATGGTGTTCTGGTAACCTTGGTAACACACATGCCTGTGGTACAGTCCTACACACTCTCCTGTAACACGTTCTGAACAACCTGTATGGTGTTCTGGTAACCTTGGTAACACACATGCCTGTGGTACAGTCCTACACACTCTCCTGTAACACGTTCTGAACAACCTGTATGGTGTTCTGGTAACCTTAGTAATTCACATGCCTGTGGTACAGTCCTACACACTCTCCTGTAACACGTTCTGAACAACCTGTATGGTGTTCTGGTAACCTTGGTAACACACATGCCTGTGGTACAGTCCTACACACTCTCCTGTAACACATTCTGAACCTGTGTTCAGGTAACCTTGGTAACACACTTGCCTGTGGTACAGTCCTACACACTCTCCTGTAACACATTCTGAACCTGTGTTCAGGTAACCTTGGTAGCACACATGCCTGTGGTACAGTCCTACACACTCTCCTGTAACACATTCTGAACCTGTGTTCAGGTAACCTTGGTAACACACTTGCCTGTGGTACAGTCCTACACACTCTCCTGTAACACTTTCTGAACCTCTGTTCAGGCAACCTTGGTAACACACATGCCTGTGGTACAGTCCTACACACTCTCCTGTAACACATTCTGAACCTGTGTTCAGGTAACCTTGGTAACACACTTGCCTGTGGTACAGTCACACACACTCTCCTGTAACACATTCTGAACAACCTGTTTGGTGTTCAGGTAACCTTGGTAACACTTGCCTGTGGTAGTCATACACACTCTCCTGTAACACATTCTGAACAACCAGTATAGTGTTCAGGTAACCTTGGTAACACACATGCCTGTGGTACAGTCATACACACTCTCCTGTAACACATTCTGAACCTGTGTTCAGGTAACCTTGGTAACACACTTGCCTGTGGTACAACCATACACACTCTCCAGTAACACATTCTGAACAACCAGTATAGTGTTCAGGTAACCTTGGTAACACACATGCCTGTGGTACAGTCCTACACACTCTCCTGTAACACATTCTGAACAACCAGTATAGTGTTCAGGTAACCTTGGTAACACACTTGCCTGTGGTACAGCCATACACACTCTCCTGTAACACATTCTGAACAACCTTGTCAGTTGTTGAATGAGAAGAAACATTAATTGGGTACTAATATTGTTATTTGTATATGAATTGCAGCAGGAAAGCAGGTATCTCGGCTGTATCAACTAATAATACATTCCTGTTATGCCTCCATTTTAAACATGGAATTCTTTTTCCCCTTCCTTTAATCCTGCTGTATGTGACAGACTTGCTTCCAGCATGTGATGCTCTTTAAGCAGTCATGATGGGTCTGTCCCTAAAAGTGGTTCAGCACTCTCTTCCATCAATGTAGAGCAATGGTAGTTACAATAGTTGAAGCCCTAAGTTCACTTTGCAGAACAGGACATGGCTCATTTCATGGTTTCTGGAGGATATGAATGCCATTGCTAATTGCTGTTGAAGGAAATTCCTGCCTAAAGCCTTCCTAGAATCCATTGTAGATGTGGATTAGATGAAGTCTGCTTGTGTTCAGTCACTGCGTGTGTTTGTGAGCACATTTCAAGGTGGACATCATTGTATTTGTAGATGCAACTTGTACTGTACATGTCTCCTGGTGTTAGTCTCATTCAAATCAGATCTTAGATCTCGCTAAACAAAGATCTGAGGATATCCCATGACAGGTCAAGTCAGAACGACCTTTCATCTGACCAATGAGAGTTTCACTTACAGATCAAGAAAGTGACGGTCGGAATGTGTTTTCTAATCATGCAAACTTGAAAAGGTTCACCCGTAGCTTTCCAATTGACAAAAGCATGTATGTCTCTCGCTTCAATAAGAGAAACATTTTAACATAAGAGACTTCACATTGCCCGTGAGAAGTATTGCCACACAGTCTAAGCCATCTATTACACATTCTTGGCTGTTCTTTAGTTCACTTTTCAAATTTTGAATTGAGAACTTTTTCAAAATATTTTTTAAAGCATAGTCTGGAATGGAAGTCACCAGTTTGAAACTAGTGCCATTTCGCCCAAGAAAGCAGCTTTCTGACTGACAATTGCCAATGTCTTGTTAGTCATTGGTCGCTCAAATTCACGAAAGGTCGTTCTGGCGTGACCTGTAATCTGATGTCCTCAGATCTTTGTTTAGCAGTAGAGAGAACTAAGATTAGATTTTAATGAGATGGTGTTATTGGCATGGGCTGTTGACACCCCATGGTCCACCTGCACAAAGCAATCTTAGTGCTGAGGTGAGGACTCCCATACTGTAACATAGGCTGTGCAAGTGGGCCCTGGGCCCCGTAACGCAAAGCGATCTTAGCGCTATGTAAGCCTTTGTTAAAGTATGGGAGCTATGATCACCTCAGCGCTAAGACAGCTTTGTGCAAGGGGGCCCAGGTATCTACTGTCTATTGGCAAGGGAGGTTGACTGTTTGCTATGTGTGACAGATCAATCTTGTAACATGTTTTATGTTTTGGTTTGTCTAAGAAAGACTTATAACTTAACCAACAACACTCGATTGTTCAAGTATATCTTTACTTCTCTGAGCTCATAACATGAGACAAGAGTTACTTCCCTTGTGCCGTATATAACAGTTATGTGCGTCTATCATAATTTTGCCACATCCTTCTCACACCAGATTAATTTTAAACACAAAAATAAACTTAAAGATAAATCTTATTATGCAAAACTTGCAAAATTATAGTCTTTTGATAGCACTGTTATTGTCCTAATGAAGATACTTTGTAGCACTTTCACACAAATTATCAAATTAAAGTCTTTGATGAACATGACATAACACAGTTATTAGATTAACACTTTAACACGGATAGTCTTTGAACTTTGCAGGCATCTCAACCAGTCTTCCACTTTAAGTTCTCACTTCCCACTTCTGAGACCATGGGGGGCGGTCGGGTAGCATGGTGGTTAAAGCGTTCGCTTGTCACACCGAAGACCCGGGTTCGATTCCCGACATTGTTATAATGTGTGAAGCCTATTTTTGGTGTCCCCCCCCCCGAGATATTGCTAGAATATTGCTAAAAGACGTAGACAAGAGTTACTTCCCTTGTACCATATATAACAGTTAAGTGTGCCTATGACAATTACGCCACAAATTGCTTGAATGTAAGTATCCAACATGACACAGGTAGCTGGGTGCATGGCAGTTTGACAGGGCTGGAAATTAATATGTAAATTAAGAAAGTAAAGGTACTGAATACATAAGCAAGAATGTTGTGGAAATTATTTCTATATTTATCCAATTTACATCTGTATTATCAAAGGAACAAGTGTTGTTTCTAAAGACTCGCAAAAATAAAACACAAAATAGATTGATTTCTGTTTGTTTTTCTTGTGACCGTGATCTATCATGTCAAGAGGATGGTCCCAGCAGAATCTCCAGTGATCATCGCTCTCCTTGTCTTGATGTACAGTCCACTGGATGTCGCTCTATGTTCCCAAGGACTTGAGTTCACTGTGTGATGTTTAATGTTTTTATTGTGAATTATCCTACCATTTTCATGTTAGTTTTATAAATAATGATTCATATTTAAATCATATAGTTTGTTAATGCGTTCCCTCAGCAACCACCCTGCTCCCCCCCCCCCCCCCTGGATATCTCCCCCTACCCACTGCCACATGGATACTAGGTGTGAAGCAATTTGTGTTGCTTTTCTCAGCTGACAGCTAAAATCATTTGCTTGTACATAATGCAGCTTTCCTGATGGATTATCTCCCTTTCACCACACTTTGAACTGACTCCAGCTATGAGAAATAAACACAAGAGCCAGGTACGTAGCTGACAATTATGCAACACAATCCTTGCTCATCTGAGATTCAAACTCAGCAGGCCTAATACCTGCAACTCTGCACAGTGATCCTCCAATGACAAGGACACCTGTGCACCCTTTTGAAGTTGTACTGTTGCCTCTGAAGAAGCACGTGATCCTGGTCCTGGTATAAGTCTAAGCACCAAGTGCCAACATTTCACCAGCCTGGAACTATTGGAGCAGGTAAACCCGAAGTTGACAGTGTGAGCACAAGTATCTCGACACGATTCTCATTCAACCAATGTCATGCTCCACACAAGCAGTTGATCAACTCTCTGCATCATTGGGGTACACCTTATCCAGCAAATGGGTAAAATAACATCTTGCACCTCACATCTTTCCAACACAAAGAACCCAAACATCAACAAGTGTTTGTTTTTTTGTTATTTATTATGAGAACAGTATCAAAAATACAACAATTGTATAACAAGAAGAACTTTTGCAAAGGCATTTACACATAAACAGTGCTCAAACAGATTAATCAACATTTATCCACCAACATTCATTCATACAACATTACACATGTAATGAATGTGTCTAGTCCATCTCCTCCACACTGGGCCCCCTGCCGGCCCCGCCCTGCTGCTTCGGACGTCCCTGACTGTGGAGTTTGGACATTACTGGGGAGCAGAGTTTCTCCAGCTGCTTGTACTGCTGCTCAAACTCCTCCTTCTCCGCCAGGGAGTTGTTGTCCAGCCACCGCAGCGTCTCCTCACAAGCTTTGCTTATTGTCTGCTTGTCCACATTCTCCATCTTGCTGCCCGTCTCGTCCACACTGGCCCTCACACTGAACACGTAGTTCTCCAGGCGGTTCCTGGCAGCGATTCTCTCCTTGTGTTTCTCATCCTCTTCCTTGTACTTCTCAGCTTCAGACACCATTCTATCAATGTCGGCCTTGCTCAGACGACCTTTGTCATTACTGATGGTGACGTTGTTGGACTTGCCAGTGCTCTTGTCAACTGCAGTCACATTCAGGATGCCATTAGCATCAATGTCAAATGTCACCTCAATCTGAGGCACACCTCTGGGGGCTGGGGGAATACCTGTGAGCTCAAACTTGCCCAGAATGTTGTTGTCTTTTGTGAGAGCCCTCTCCCCTTCAAACACCTGGATGCTGACGCCTGGCTGGTTGTCGGAGTAGGTTGTGAAGGTCTGGTTTGCCTTAGTGGGGATTCTTGTGTTCCGATCAATCAACTTGGTCATCACACCTCCAGCAGTCTCGATACCCAAGGACAGCGGAGCAACGTCCACCAGCAGAACATCCTTGATGGCGTCGCTCGTGTCCCCACTCAGCACGGCGGCCTGCACAGCAGCTCCGTAAGCCACAGCTTCATCGGGGTTGATGGACTTGTTCAGATCTTTGCCATTCATGAAATTCTGCAGCAGCTTCTGAATCTTGGGGATTCGTGTGGACCCTCCCACCAACACCACATCGTGGATACGAGACTTGTCCAGTTTAGCATCTCGCAGAGCTTTCTCCACTGGCTCCAAGGTGGAGCGGAACAGATCGGAACACAGCTCCTCAAATCGTGCCCTGCTAATTTTGGAGTAAAAGTCCACTCCCTCATGCAGGGAGTCAATTTCTATACCCGCCTCTGTGCTGCTAGACAGAGTTCTCTTGGCACGTTCACATGCAGTGCGCAGACGTCTCATGGCACGTGCGTTGTTGCTGATGTCCTTCCTGAAATTCCTCTTGAACTCCTGGAGGAAATGGTCCACCATTCGGTTGTCAAAGTCCTCCCCTCCCAGGTGGGTGTCCCCAGCAGTTGACCTCACCTCAAACATGGAGCCCTCATCTATGGTCAGCACAGACACGTCAAATGTGCCACCTCCCAAATCAAATATGAGCACATTCCTCTCCCCCTTCAAGTTCTTGTCCAGGCCATAAGCCAGGGCAGCTGCAGTAGGCTCGTTGATGATTCTCAATACTTTCAGCCCTGCAATGGCCCCCGCATCCTTGGTCGCCTGTCTCTGAGAGTCGTTGAAGTATGCAGGCACTGTTATCACTGCATCAGTCACCTGCTGTCCAAGGTACGCCTCAGCTGTCTCCTTCATCTTGCTCAGCACCATGGAGCTGATTTCCTCGGGCGCAAACGTCTTCTTTTCTCCCTTGTACTCCACCTGTAGTTTGGGCTTACTGCCTGAACTGTTGACAACGCGGAACGGCCAGTGTTTCATGTCGTTTTGGACAGTACTGTCCTCAAATTGTCTGCCGATTAGTCTCTTGGCGTCAAACACAGTGTTCTGTGGATTCAGCGCCACCTGGTTTTTAGCGGCATCCCCGAGCAGACGTTCAGTGTCGGTGAAGGCCACGTAGCTAGGGGTCGTTCTGTTGCCCTGGTCGTTGGCGATAATCTCCACCTTTCCATTCTGGAACACACCAACACAAGAGTAAGTGGTTCCCAGGTCTATGCCAATGGCGGGAGCTTTTCCTTTAGGCGCCATTCTCTTCAAAACAACCAACTTCAATAATATCTTCTTGAACTAAGTCACTTCAGTGTAGCCTATCTGACAGACAGAAAGTGTGTGGTCTCCCTCTCTGCTTCGCTGTGTATCGTTAGTATACAGTAGTGTACGCTTCCAGCTTGGTGTATGGCTGTGGTCTGACAGACCGCCTGTATATATACCAGTCCCCTTACCTTCTCCATACTTCCACACCAGCGTGGATTTGTGTACAACCGTCTCGTCTCTTCCGGAAACCTCTAGAATGTGACGTCACAACTTACAGGGGAATCCCTGTAAGGGAAGTAACTCTTCGCAGATTCTCGAATTTGCTTTTGGCAACTCAACATGTCGTTTATTTCCTGAATGATGTCATGGTGCCACTTATCTTGTGCGACTTAGGAACTGAGAAAACGTTACATATTCCCTTAATATATGTTCTTAAAAGATGACAGACAATTGGATACATTTACAAATTTTGTTTGGGGTTCAAGATCACATATCCGTTTACATGTTTATGTTAGGGCCCATGTTTTTGTGTAAAAGACTAGTATGCTGGCCACAATGACCTCTGGGTAGGAGAGTGGAACAATATAGACTGGCTTGTCGGATTTTGTAATAAGCCTGTGATCAGTTGCAAATTATTCTACAAGATTCTTAAAGTAAATATTTTGCACTCAGTGTTATAAAGGGGTATAGTTTTCAGAATTTTATCATAAAATATTTCCTTTCCTTTCCAAGACTATTCACAAGTAGATTACCTTTCTTAAAATGTAAAATGCTGAGAAAATGTACTTTCAAGTTAATTTGTTTTTGTTTATAAGCAAATATTTCCCTGGATTTAACTGAATCATGTCTGTCCCTCAGCTGAACCAGAATGAAAAAGAATGCCTCAACTAATGTTTAACTATTGAAAAAATGTAACAAATTATGTTTATCAGACACTCAAATGAACGTGAGTTACACGTATTCTATCATTTTTATCTAAAAAGAGAAAGAAAAAATACATTCGGGAAAACTCAGCTGCGTTACAAAGTACCAATACCCAAAACATTACTTGTCCAAATATTGTTGTCAATATAAACATTAGAACATGTAAGGAGTACTTACAAATGTCCTATCATACATTTCCTAAAACAAGTTCCCATTTGCATTAACATTGGATTTTATTCGCACTTAAAGTTCCTTGTTGAATATGAGTTTATGTATCACAGCAATCTAGCACTATTGAAATTATTTTTCATTTTGTGAGACCTAACGGAGTTGAACGTCTCAGTGGATTAGGCTAATTCATTTATAATTTGCTGATTAATTAAATACATTAATACACTGCATTGATCGAGAAAGTACAACTCATATATCATATTCTCCAATACCAAGAGAAACATTATGTTAAAGACTTTAACCTTCGTTAGTTGATAATCAGATAATTTGTCGGTTATGAGATTTTACCCATAGACACCCCGGTGACAGAAGAAAAATGAACGCAAATGACTGCATAGGGTATTTATATAGCTCTACACAAGATATACATAATATTCTATGTAGTAGGCATACCATCTGTTTAACAGCCATAAGTGAGGTATAATAGTAATTAGGTAATGAGGATAATTTGGCAATAGTATGTGTACATGTAGTTCAACTTACGGAGATGAGTCAATCAATATATGTGATTAAATTATGTATGTAGTGTGTACATGTAGTGTTTGATAGGCATTTATAAGTTGGGAGAACATGAATACATGACACTTTCTTATGGAAAGCAACTTCTTTTATTCTTTGTATGACGTTTCAGGGCTACTGCTTGCTCTATCATCGGGTGAATGACTTGTGAGTGCATAGAATATATATATAATGATGTTTACACAACACAAGGTGGGATGAATTTACAAAGATAGCAACATAACGACAAAGCCAATGACATAGGATTAGAAATCTATGCCGTACAAAGAATAAAAGAAGTTGCTATCAATAAAAAAAGTGGCATGTATTTATGTACATGTATATATACCAGTTGTGACCAATACATATGAGATGGTGTCACTTTGCTGGCACCAGGGT